CGAAATTTTTCACTGAATGTGAAACATTCGAAATTTCTGGAAAAGTATCAGGAGAACATGACAATCGAGGAGCTATTCACTGAAATTTTCACTGACAGTGAAACATTCGAAATTTTTGAAAAAGTATCAGGGGAACATGACAATCGAGGAGTTATTCACTGAAATTTTCACTGAAAGTGAAAAATTCCAAATTTTCGAAAAACTATCAGGGGAACATGAAAATCGAGGAGTTATTCAGTTTTTAAATAATATTTCAATTGATTAACTATTTAAAAAAGATAAAATTGGATTTATTTAAAAAAAAAAATTGAATGACGGCGGGATCGAACCCGGGCCGTCGGCGTGCTAGCCGAGCACGTTACCACTAGGATAACGAACTATTACAATATAATAATTTCATTAGGAGTATATATATTGCAAAAGTATCGTTTTAAAAAATTGCTAATTTTTCAATTTCACTGGATATCTTCTCGATTTTCAAATATTTAGTTTTTAAACGATATTTCCATTAATTAGCCATTAATAAAAACGAAAAATTATAATTATTTTGTTACCGTTACCGCTAGGACAACGCGCTTATTGTAAAAATATAATTTCATTAGTGGTATATCTTCAACATATTGAATAATTTTTTCAATCGAAATTCCACAAGCTGTGATTTCCCCCTTCCGCCCATTCTACAGTCGGTTAATTTTCAGTTAAACAAATAAAAAATAAAAAGCATTCATAGCGCAGAAAATAAAATTCATTTTAATCAATCCTCTTTGAGCAACATGTTCAAAAATTTAGCATTGTTTATTATGTCTTATATATACGCACAAATAAATTATTGGAATTGTTTTTTTACATAAAAAAAAATAAAATCCATAAGTGTACGATTTTTTTTTGTAACCTATTTCATTAATTAATGAGTCGGAATATTTCGAAACTCGTAACACTGATTCCCGTGCATTATTAATTTTAATTATAAATTAATCTGTATTTAATATTAAACAAACACCCTGCAAAATCCATAAAGAATCATGCTCTGTCGTCCTGAGGTCAGCTTCAAACATAAGACCCTCTCCCATGGCATTACGACGACGTGAAGTCACGTAAACGGGTGTTTTAACAGTATTTTGCAGGGTGAGACGATGGGCTTCGATAGGGAGGATCGTTAGAATAGGTAATTCCTCGAGAAGAATTTTAGGGTGTGATTTGCGGAGGCAATGGTCATTTTTGTCCCACCTTGCGCCCTCCAAATGTAGTCCTTCAACGTAACAACCCTATATCGAAATGATAAACAATCCATTATTCTTATTATAATTCTTACAATCTCATAAAACGTAATCGGGATACCTGATCAGGTCTTTCTTCAACTTCGTCAGTGGCCGAAAATTTCGAGACTTCTGTGTAAGTGACAGATTTATCCAAAGGCCAATTATTTCTTCTACACGCCATTTGCACCAGAGCCGCTAGATAAGTCTGGGGGATGTGGAGACCTGACAGCCAGATAACTAGGGGTTCGTTGCATCCAGCCTGAAACAATATAAAAATTAAAATATGGACGAAAAGCGAAAGGAAATCGATATATCGTGACACAGACCCAGTTAGTGTACTGAATAATTCGTCGTTCAAAATGATCCATCCATCCGCCCAAATTTTTCATGGTTGATGGTGCCAACTTCGCCCATTCGAAAGGCAAAGTTCCATTGAAAAGTGCATTTCCAACACTCTCCAGAATCGAATCCATTCCTATCTCCCCCGCGATTGCCTGCAAAAATATTCCCAAGTGTTTTGAAAGAAAAAAATAAAATAAAAGTGAGGAATCCCTGGAAATTATACCTTTCTGAGATTAGACAAAGTCGTTCTTATTTTGCCGAGCAATTTATTGAACCTCTCGAGCTCTTGGAAGAGTACAATAGCCGTGGGTGTTACCCCCAGTCCAAAATTCCGTTTCACTTTGATCAAATCGTAATCTCCTGGATTTTTCGCGAGAATATCCTTGGCGAGATTATCAATGAACTCGTCTCTGCTGATCCCTGTAGAACCAACTGCTGTCTGCGGTTGCAACTCAATAAGATTGGCCCACATATCTTTCGTAGCTTTCGTGAAATAGCCGATTTCCGCGTTGGGATGAAGACCAAAAACTTCTGGTGAGTTGACAAGAGGTAAATCTTCAATAAATTCGATGTACGATTCTCGATTTCCAGACGGGGGGATCACATAATCTACGTCGTCATCCTGATAAAAGTGGAACGGTTGAAATTCATCGAAGAGAAAATCCCCCAAGTACTCGTTCATATATGTACTGGCGATCCTCCTATCGTAGCTGTCAATTATCCTCCCTCCGTACATTACCTCACCAATCAGATACTTTAGACTATTCCAAGGGATCCTCTCCTCTTTCCTCGTCCACGATTTCGTCAAGTAAGTGTCCAATATCGAGGTGCATACATTAAAATCTGACTCATTGAAATCGTAACTGATATTCCAACCGATATTATCGTATTTCCTCCTCTCTTGCACTACGCCATGGAAAAACGCAAGAACATAGACGAGATCCTTGAAGATTGGGTGCTCACATCCTTCAAGTGTCTGTCCCCGCATTCTGAAATACGTATTTCTGAGATTCAACTTGAGTCCATTGGGAGGTTCAGTGACAATTTTAAGCGACTGCTGTAGAATTCCAATGGGGAAGTTGGGAGTTGGATCTGTTGTAATCCAAAGACGGAAATCCGGATGAGGCTTGCCAATTATCTCCAATCTCTTTTCCAACTCTCGAGTGAAGCTCAGAAGAAGGTGACAGTTCTGCAGCATTAGCCATTGTCCTCGAGCCGTGGCATTCTCCAGAAGTTGAACCGCTGCCTTTTCTTGTCCCTGTCCGAGTGACAGATACTGGAACCTTCCACCACCCCATCCATATCTTTCTGCTAATTTCATCAATTCGGAGCTAGGATCAGAGCCAGCGCTCAGAATAAATACAACGGGCATCGTGCAGGTGCTTTGATCGTAGATCATGTCGAAGCTTATATTTGGAGGGGCAATGTACTCTTCTCCCATGATTTCACTGATGTAATTGACGAGACCACAGTAGACTCTGTCCACTCTAAAGCACCGAAGCACCATCAGCTTCTGGAAGGGATTGAGTTTCACAGTGTATCCTGATGGAAAATCCTCGGCTTCTGGATTGTCCGACTCGTACCACTCTCTCCAATCATCGATGTCACTTCTCAAATCATCGCACAGTTCAGTGAATTGATCAGGAAAGTCTCCAGAGAGTTTAACGATATCTTGCCAGTTTGTTGGTTGCAGCCATTTTGCGGGATTCGGTCTCTGAGTCTTCTCTAAAGCTACACTCCCCTTTATGAAGAAGTTCAACTCAGCTTGAGTGATGTTACCCACGTTCTGCTCAATCCTGATGCAGATTTGGAAGGAGAAGAGCAGCTTGTGCTTCTCAAAAATACCGGTACACCCGTAATCATAGACATTCTTCGTTAAAGTGCTGATAATATTCCTCAGGCGATGCGCCAGAATATGATTCGGCAGAGCCTTCTTCAAGGAGTACGTGAATATTTCCAAATAGCTTGTGAGTGAGTATTGATACATGGAATTAACGATAGCCATGTCCGCAAGGACGAAGAAGAGAATAGCGCCTCTTTTTGCTGCAGCACGATAACCATCTCGCAATTTGTTGACTTCCTCAGCTGTCACTTCAGCTAGTGTAATCTTTTCCGTGACCTCAGTCGCGCTTGATTTGGTGTTTTCTAGGGTCTCAATGAGATCAATATTGTCCAACATGTTTCCCTGATTTGTAGAAATCTCTCTGAGTAGACTGTCTTCCAACTGACGCAAAAGACTCTTGTTTTCACTAGTTTCAGCAATAAGTAACTCCCGCTGTTCTTCAATATCCGGTCTCTCAGTTCTCACCACAACGGATAGTAATTGATCTTCTAATCCGGTCAGAGTAACCATATAGTTGATTACAGTTGCTTTAGAATAAATTGCCGGATTGAAAACTGGATTCGATTGTTTCGTTATGAGGTACAAACAAAATTTGGGATCATAATCGACTTCTTTGTCTCCGAGAAGAACAAATGTTCTTCCCCCAACAATCTGAATATTCTTCATGAGGACATTATCCAGAATTGGATCGATGTAATCAACGTCTTGAAAAATAACGGGGAATCCGAACTTGATAGCCATCTCTACTTGTTTCACGAAATCTACATCATTGAATGTCAAGATTTTAAGATTCCTTTTCTGCTCCCTTTTTTTCAACCAATTGATCGCTTGCTGTTGAGGATCAATGCATAAGGAACTTCTCAAAGCTCTACATGTGAGAATTCCATTTTGTACAGAGAGCTCATCCGGCGGTAAACCTTCAGAATTCCATCCACTGATTTCCACGTCGTTGGTCAATTGATTTTCTATCCGATACGATTGAGAAAGAGGAATGCTCTTCTCAAGAATGCTCCTCTGCCAGTCATCGTAAACCATTTGATTTCTGAATTCATAGCTGAATGGTCCTGCGTAGGAGAGAAAGCCTGCAGACAGAAGACTATTCCCTATTATTAACTCAAGTTCCGCCTGGAGGTTCTCCAGTTCTTCCTTCCAGCGAACATTTTCTGATGATAAACCTCCGATAAGTTTATCCGCAGCTAGCAGACGTCGTTCAAGAATATCTGTTTCTCCCTGAAGAGCTAGCCTGTCAGCTAAAGCTATTTCATATTTGGCATTCAATTCGTTCAATTGTTTTTCTATTTTTTGGAGTTCTTTCAATTCTTTCTCTAGGGCCTTCTTAGCTCGTTCCGCTTCAATCTCCAGCGTCTGTACTTTTTCCATTTTGGGTTTGACTTCCCGATATACTGTACAATATTCGAGAACAGCAAGAACAAATTTATAGAGGCCGAAGCCGGCCTTGCTGATAGACTCCATCTGATCGAGTTTATCTGATTTTTTCAGTTGCGTTCTAACCGCCTGCTGCTGTTTGAGAGTTATTTCAGTCACGTCCATCTCTTGCAGAGTCCTCAAAAAGCTGGGATCACTCATGAGTCCTTTGGCAGTTTTCCAAGATATCTCTTTTGCACCTCTGATAACTGCAATACACTCACCAACTACCTGTACCGGCTCCGGTGGAGTCGCGAATGATCGAATTTCAGTAATGTCACTCTTTTCTAACTCATTGAGAGCTGTCTTGGCTGCATCTAAGGCTGGCTGAGCCGCAGCTAAAACAGCTTTAGCCTCTGCAGATTCCTTGGCTATTGTTTTCTTTCGACTCTCGATTTCTTCGCTCTTTTCGGTGCTCAATTTTTTCTTCTCCATAGCAATGTCTGTGCTCTCACCAATTGATCTAAGCAATTTTTCACAGTTCTTTGTTTGTCTCGATACCTTAATTCTTTGAATAGCCAGAATTTCATTCAGTTCGCCGAGGGTTTCCGATGCCTCGGCTATCTTCTTTATACCACCAGAGAGCCTTTCGCATTGTGAAACTATGTAGGTTTTCTTCTCGGCCAAAAGGTTCAAATATGTATTGATGAAGTCTAAGAAGTGCTTTGGAGTGACATAATTTTTTCTTCTGAGTTTGGTCAAAAATTCCGCTGTGTATTTGCCAACAGACTCGTGAACCTGAACGATATGCTGAATGATATTTTTCCGATGTTTTTCAGGAACATGAGGGTTATCTCGCAGAACGACTGTTGCCACGGCGTGAAGCGCTTGCTGTGGCCAGGGAAACAACCAATCGACAGTCGTACTGCTGACAAGACCAGGATAGCTTCGACATCTGCACCGGAGAATATCTCCTGCTGGACTCATTGACAAGGCTATTCTCAAATGGGAGATGCAGGTTTTTTCAAAGTAATTCCAAACATTTTCCTTTGTGATACCGAAGCCGGCGTTCTTCGCTCGATCTCTACAGCTATTGATGATAGAGTCTTTTTCGTCATCAGAAAACAGTGCTGGTACTACACCAGTCATCAGCATATTATTGATAGTCTCCAGAAAACTCTCGTCGATTACTTGGGCAGCTGTGAACAAGAAGACCATTTTTTTATCATCGACACCAACAATATTGTAGAGCCTTTTCACATCCTCCCTGAAGCTGTGATCATTGTAATTCCTTCCTAAAGAAATTTCGAAGATCTCACAGTTGGCCGCAAATGCAGCTAGTCTTATCACCGATTGCTTCCCACTTCCGCCAATTCCCACAACGAGAATGTGCCCTCGATGCATTCTTAACGTCCGATGAACACGAACTAGATGTTCTAGAGCATCGTTGAACAGAACAATATTTATTCTGGGATTCTTCTCGTTGTATTCCTCGAGAATCTCCATGAAGAGACTGTAGACGGCTTCATAGTCGAGGACGTCTTCGTAGAAACGAGGGTCTTCCTCGCTGCATGCATTCCGGAAGTCTCCGAACAGTAGAGGGTCACGCAAAATGTAATCTATGATTTCCTCTTCATCTTCCCAGACCTCGGTAGCCTTGATTTTCACCTCCAAATGACCACGCACCAATGCCTGATCCTCGTCATTGATCAATCGATCACAAATCACTCGTGTGAACTCATTCCTCCAGAGTCTTGCGAATTGCTGAACAGTGGGAAAATATTGGGGAGTACTCTGGAGTAATCCTGCCGAGATCCTTGATAGATCTCGCATATTAAAGATGTAATGGAACTTTGATGGGGTTGGAGGCAACTCTGTCGTCACAATCTTGTATAAATCATGAGTCAGTTCGACTAGAGTCACGGCTATTTCTTGGACTTGCTCAGGAAAAATCTCGAGATGACCACTGAGAATACTAGAATAAATGTAGTTGAGGGTTTCTTCGCTGGGCAGAGTGACGTTGTACACTGTAAACATGGAGATGAATCTCGGATCGACTTCGTTTCTACCACCACCGGTTTTTCCCATTGCTGCTAGGTAACGGATATCCTTGATATTTTTCCAATTGAGATCTTTACCCCTGTCGTAAAGTCCACCCCTTTCAAAGAGAAGTTTGAGAAGAGCGATTGGTTGTTGGGTGCCGTAGGTGTCAACCAGAGGCATGTTCATGTCGTCTATAAAGACTGCCAGTTGCTTCCCAGGTGACGGCCCATACACATCCTTTGTTCTTTTTTCTAGAACGGATTCAATGTTACGCTGTACGTCTAGTGAAGTCGTCCTGGAAGAGAAATTTATAAAAAGCTTGTGAAATATCTCAGAGTCCAGACTTCTCAAGAATTCATGAATAACAGCTGTCTTCGAGGTGCCTGTCTCACCGACCAGTAACACTGGTCTCTTCAAGTGATTCATTAATTTAATGAACCAGGTAGTTCTCAAAGTGTCGATGGTAGGGATGAGAATTTCGCTAAAATTTTTGGTTCTGTCATGGATATATCGAGGAATTAATTCCTTCCAGGGTCTCCAGACCCTCTCAGTGACATCCAGTACGTAATCGTAGAGGGTTGAGTATGTAATGGGAATGTATCGAACGGATGCTAATTTGTCCGGGGTGTCTTCTATCATCATCAGTCCGGCTGTCTTCTTCATGAACTCGTCAAATTGGGGTCTGGATTCTGCTATGAGGGTTGCACCTACGGAGCAGTAGCAGGACTGAATGAAAATCGCTTCCACAAGTTCCTTATGATCAGTCATTTGCTCGTTGATGCCGTCCTCGTCTTCGTCGAGTGACATTTCTCCGGACCTCGGGGTAATTTCCTCGGGTGTCTCCAGGGGAAACAGGCCGTTGATTATGTAGCAGAGTTGAGAGATCATATTTAAAGCTGTTTGGGGAATGATGATCTTCAAGGGAGTGACTGGCTGGAGGCCAAACATTGCATGAAAAATTAATTTAATTGCACCGTCGATGTATTTTTCTGTTAATTCTCGGAAAAGTGATTGTTCAGATTCGTCTCTGCTGTTTATCCATCTGTCTAGGTAAGGCTGATAACCGAGGTTTTTCGGGTCGACGTAGACCATTCCAGCCCGGGATACTGTTGCAGGGGATGCGTACTGCAGGTCACCAACTTCAAAGAGAAGACTGCAGTAATTCTGGAGTTTAATTCTCTCTTGGTTAGCAAGGGTGAGGATCTTATTATCATCCATTACGGAATTCATGTTCTCGATCCAAAGGGCATCGACATCCCCATCGAACAGGATATATCTTCTCTCATCTTTTGAAGAGTCAAGCGGTTTATTGATCTCTCGGAAAATACTGCTGAGAAGACCGTCCGTCCAATCTCTCGTTTGGGGATCGAGAATTCCGTAGAGTTCGATCACCGTACAAGCCTGGAGAAATAGATCATTTGAAAGGCAATGAATTTCACAAACTAAAAAAAAAAATATTTGCACTCACTTTTGGATTGAGTATGTGTAGCTTTGTGGGTTTTGCCAGTAAAGTTTGAGCTTTGCAGAGGCTTTCTATAATCACTGTCTTCCCCCCGCCCGTCGGTCCCACAACCATCGTTGAGTGTCTAGTCATCATGACTTCATAAAGCTGCACAACTTTATCAACTTGCTGCGGGAGCACGATACATCCGCTCTCGTGGAGAATCTTCTCGACAGCTGCGTTAAAGTCGGGATAACCGACTCTTGGACAATCCAGGCCTGGGAATAAGTCCATAATGAGACCAAGAAAGAGTGGAACATCATCGAAGACAAATTTCGGAAGGTTCATGTCTCTCAATGCGCGCATGAGAACGACATCCTCCGGAAGATCGGCTGATGTTCTTTTGAGTTGGCCCGCCATATTCAACACCGACTTGAGAGCTCGAAGACCGAAGTCATAGTGTGTTTGTTTGCTCAATTGTTCTTTAGCGAGGGTATAGAGCACCGTCATTTTCTTCGCTAGGACTTTAGCTGTCAAAAATCCAGCGCTGAATAATTTTATTTGACAGATTAACTCGTTGTCAGGTACTATACACACAACAGGTCTGAATAATGCTTTTACAGATTCAGGGAGTTCAGTTCGCCCGGCATATCCTGGATTCATTGTTATAAAAATTCCCACTTTTCTGTCCAGCACGATATCTTGACCTTCAAACTTGAACAGAAATAAAAATAACGTGACTCAATAATTAATCTTTTTTTTAATTATAAAGAATGGCAATGGAATTGATTAATCACCATGAATCGGCCAGATTTAGCTTGCAAAGCAGATCGAATTGTTTGCAACTGCGTCGAGATAACGGAGAGGACTGATACATCAATGCGATTGAATTCGTCAAAACATCCCCAAGCTCCACATTGTGCTAATCCTCCTAAAGTCTTTCCAATGGCTACATAATCCATTCCTTCACCGCAATTTGTTACAATGCACAATAATCCCAAGGCTTTCGCCAAATCTTTTGTTGTCTCCGTTTTTCCAGTTCCCGCGGGGCCTTTAAAATTCAAATACAAATTCAACATAATCAATTCCTTTTTTTTTCCCCCAGGGATAATTTCCCGATAAAATTATCCTTACCTGCAGGTGCACCACCCAAATGCATAGAAAGTGCTTGAGTAATCGTCAGATAAATTCTGTCCGTCAATGGGGTAATGACAAGTCTGCCATTCAATCCCATGTATTCATATCCATATTGAAATTGGCCAGTGCACTGATTAACCCACACATTATCCATATCATGAACCCAGTAAAACTTAAGCTGACTTTCCCACTGGAACTCCATGGCATTCATGATGCTGTCTCTAACGAATCCATCGATAATATCCCGAATGTGAACGTCAACTGTCAATACAGTATCCAATTTTTTACGATCATTGTTCGTCAGGTTGTCTCCACCCATCATAGTCACAACCTCATCTAGTTGATTATTCAATTGCTGAAGATACTCTTTCATTGCTCGTTTAGAGCCATCTTTTATTTTCTTGAATACATTCTCCACCTCTGCCGTCCACCAAATCTGATTAGCCACAAGGATCATCATCCCCTGGAAATCCAGGATCCATTTGGTTCTGGATCTATTCTCTGTTCCATAATTGTATACGGCTTTTTTCGTAAGATATCTATTGGATCTCCTCATTTCCTCCAGAGCGTGCACCATCCACTCTTCGATTTTCCCCTCAGCCAACACCTTATCTCTGAACTCCATTATCTCATTTTCACACGAGATGAGAGCTGTTGCCACAGTCCTCTCGTCATCATCACTCAAGGATTCCTTCTCCAGTCTGAGTTTATCTAAATTATCAAACATCTTTCCAATGTGCTCTTGAATAGCTTCCGGATCCGTGCTTCCCAAGATTCCCAAGAGTTCTTCATCACTCAAGAAATTAAATCGAGGAAAGATCATTCGTTTGCTATTCAGGTATTCTGTCAATGATTTCTGACACCTCTCGAGACCATCAATTAAACTCAGGAATGCATCTCGTCTTCCCTGAATTGTGCAACATTCGTAGACGTTCAGTCGTTTTGCCGTGTCCAGCATGTGCTTTTTGAAGGCGTTATCGATCTCATCGAATTTTTTTGCCTCACCCGGAAGCTGACTTCGGATATCTCCCCCCACGAAAATACCCTCGAGATATAACCATCGTCTTTGCAATTCCATCCACGCCTCTACAACTTCGGATATCGTCTGCAATGATTTTTCCCACTTCTGCACAGTTACGAGGAATGGCCCGACGAACTGAGATGCGGCCATGCTTTGTAAGTTCATTGTATTATCTTCTAGGACTTGGTTTAGCTCGTCCACAGGGCCCAGAATGAATCCTCGGTCTTCGGATCCTTCCAATTCATTGAGAAAAAAAAATGAATAAAAATAAAATGCCGCCAAAATAAAAATACAAATGAAAGACCTTTGAAGTGTTTTATGACGGTGAATTCCATTGTGTTCCAGGAGTCGGAAATGTCTTTGACTCCTCTTTCTATCGCCAGTTCCTTCACTGCATTCGTTACGATTACATTTGCAATGTCCTGGAATTTTGCCAAATCCATGGCGAACATGTTCTCCAGTGTAAACCTGGTGAATAAAACAATGACAAATACACATGGAAAGTGAAAAATAGTACAACTCAACATTTCATTTCTATATAAATTTTTCAAAGAGGATGAGAGGAATGAAATGTCTCACCGTTCCATAATTATTCCTCAATGTTTGCATTAATCGATAATTTGGGTTAGTATAACAATACAGTCTTTAAAAAAATCTGTAAAAATCCTATTAATTAGCTAATGGGGTACGAAATGGTTATCGAAAGAGTTGAATGCACCCACTGGTCTAATTATGATGCAGTCAACCCTCAAAAGCCGGCAGTCGTCAATTATTTATTTTTTAAAAATGAAATATTTTAATGAACCACCGAGATAATTGATAAAAAAAAATAAAATCTTCAGGACGCGGAGAAATAAAAGTATGTTGATAAGATTAGCTGGTGTTTGTAAAAAAAAAACATGATTAAATTTTCGAACGATCACTGATATGTGAATTATGTGTCCTCGCACCTTTCAGGTGCCATATCAAAATATTGTCCAGTCTTATCCATCAGTTCTTGCCAATGCCTCTCACGCATCGCTTCATTTTTAAGTTCAACAAAAAGTGGAACGGAATTTCTAAAGGCTTTCATGCCCGCCTCAAGAGCCTGGCCAACACTCAAATTTTTCACGGGCTTGGGAAGCCTGCGGAATTCTTTGATGTACTGTTCCATTCCGTCAATGAGCTGCTGAGGATTTAAATTGGCCCAGAGAGTCTTAGACCAGATATCGCGGGCACTCTTCTGGGTCTTGTACAAGTCGAAAATCAGCTCCATACCCTCGTAGTCCTCTTTAACTCTGATAAAGGGAGAATAGTCTGCGGGATCTAGATCGAAAAGAATTTCAGCGTTCACCAGGTCGAGGCGCTTCACCTCAAATTCATTGATAAGTTTTCCAAATTCCTGAGTGAAAAGAGGAAAGTGAAATAGATAAAAAGAAAAATAGATAAGAGCTCGAGCTGATTGAGTTACCGGCATTTTCTTCGCGCCAATATCAAGATTGTCTCCAACACTTCCAGGCCCTGTCGCATCAAAATGCTCAGCAAACTTGATGCATTCTCCTCTGAAATCCTCAATCTGATCCTGCGTCATCTGGCAAAATTGATCCTTGGTACTCTCCAATGTTGTCGATCTGTATAAACCTCCAAGATACAAGGACTCCCAGTCCTGTTGGATTTTGTAGGCCTGGACTTCATCCTCAGCCGGATACTGAATCTCATATACCTTCAGAGTCCTAAATGTCTCCTGATACTCATTGTATTGAACCTCCGCCTGTACCGCCATTTTTTTAACATTCGCAATGGCTTGCATAACAATTTTAAATTTCTCCAATCCACTAACAACAAGTTCGATATCAGTTCTAAAGTTTTTTATTTTGCTCTGCAAGTCATTCATCGATTGTTGAGTATCGAATAGGAGATAATTTCCCAGATGTTGTTTCCACTCTTGTGCGTGATCCTTAATGGTCTTCAAGAGAGGAGATAAATTGATTCGAATGCTTGAAACGTCTGAGTACAACAGCATGTCGTTAATTTCTTCAATTACCGACCCATAGAACGTAAACTTCTCGTCATATTGTAGAAGGGTGGGATTTGTCGATGCAAATTTCTCGCAAATTTGAATTTTATCGACCCTCCACAGATTTCCATATTTTTTCCATCTCTGGAGGTATCTCCAGCAGTCCAACGCCAATGTGTGGCTTGTCTCTTGAACAGCTGTGATCCTGTCATTGATTAGCTGAAAAATATGCCAACATTTAACAAGATCATTCTTACATTTGACACACCTTGAAAAAAAAACTACCTGAATACTCATGACATCCTCGAAAAAACTAAAAACCGTAGTTTCCTCGGTGTTTTCATCTTTAACCGGATTGCACTGATGACAAGTCCTCAGCATCCACCTAGGAAAAATTTTGCACCTCTCGAGCAAATCCTTAACATCGTGAAGAATTATCGAATAAATTTCACTAGGTGAAGGACACAGAACTACGTCAGACGCTTGTAATATAGCATCCACTTGAAAGATAACTCTGTCCCCAGACAGTAAATTATTCAGAACTTCCAAATTTCTCACGAAGCACGTGATTAATGCAGTGAAAATTTTCTGTTCGTATCTCTCGTAAAATAATAGCATAGCAGTGCTTTTTCCTGTTGATGTTCCCTCAACGAGACTCTCCAATTTAATCAGCATAGGGCTGATCGAGTCGTACACTCTCAACATGGTGGCGATTAATTCAGTTCTTTTCGATTCAATATCTGTGAAATAAAGCTTGCAGGTGTTTAATTCGTAATCCAGATCATTGGGATCTTTTGTGGTAGTGAATAAGTTGTAACAACTGATCTCGTTTTGAATTTGACGATCGAGATTCAGTTTCATTTGGTTCACTTGACCAACGATTGATTTTAAATTCTTCAGAAGTTTTTTCGCTTCTGCCGCATAGTCAGAAATTCCTAAGCTGTACCAATTGAGACGTGTCACTCCTGGTTGAATGCGTTTTTCGATTTGTTGAATAGTATTTTTGAGTAATTTAACCTGAGGGAAAATCATTTAATTTTACACTCTGAAAACGATTGATTCAACACTTACATCGGCATTATCCAATTCATTAATAATTGCGTTGTACTCGTCAACCATTCCCTGCGCACTTTCGATATCTCCCCGCAGTCTATCCTTTTGAATCCCCACATCTTTCACAGGTTCTGGTAAAACATATCCAAGATACTCGAGCAATTCCACCTCGTGAATTATTTTAAAAACCTCCCAATCGAAATTCACTTCGAATCGCAATTGATTTTCAATCATTATTTTGTCATCCATCATCTCCATCCAGGTGACCTTGGTTACGTTATGAGGTTTATTAGGAGGAGATACGGTCGTGGACATCCGTGGGATTCGACTTTGACGCATAGGTTTTCCTTCTGATTTTGTTTTCGAAAATGATTCGACGCTTTTCGAGACAGATGCGGACGAGTTTTTAGATTCCTTGATAATTTTCTCTTTTTTCGAGAGAATCTTACCGACAATTTCTCCTTCCAACACTACAAGAAACGAAACATGTCATAATTCTTGCAATAAAGTATTTCATTCTCCCTTACTTTTTTCATCGGATAGTGGAATCATCTTCAGCACATTTTTCTTCATTGTCTGAACAACGACCGTATGTGCTCTGTCCACCCACGAATTAAATTTTATCTCTTCGTATTCTTTCATCTTCCTTGCCATCTCCAAGTACCGAGCAAACGTCATATTTTTTAAATGACTCTCCTTTATCTCGTCGACATTCTGAAAAATCAAAATCGGCTTGCGGAGTCTGTGAAATAGCTGCCTCTCCCAGAATATCGCTCCAGCGATTGGAGGGTGATTTCGTAGTAGAGGTGGATCTCTTTTTCCTTGATTGAATATCTCCTCGACTTCATTAATTTCCTTACAAAATTGCTGCATAATAATATCGAATTTCGTGTGCAGTTGTTTCTGAATTGCATCTCTTGTCTTCATGTTCTTGAACTTTAATAAGACCTCGAGTGCCTGTTCCGCACTAATTAATTCTGTAAAACATTCGTCGATGAAAAACTTGGCGTCATTCTCGAGATAGGAAACTTCGAGAAAGAACCAGTCCATTGTCGCATCCCAATTCTCTTTATTGAATTCGAGAAAAATATTAAAATCAGCATTTTTAACTGGATCGATGAGCTCGTCCACTCGTTTGATGATTGTATCAATTTGGGCGGGCTCATTTATCGTTGATTTTAGCTCCGCACCAAATATATTATAAAAATCTTGAAGAACACTGGCTATTTTATTTAAGTCTGCACACACTTTACCAATGTATTCGGTTTCTTTGAAGAGTCGCTGCTGATCGAATTCCCAACGAGTTCCCTTACCCGAGTATTCAATATCCTGACGGGTTTTTAAATACGATGCTTTCCAACTCTTCATCATTAAATGCGCGTCTAAGGTTTTTTCTAGGATTTCACCAAGTGGTTTCCTGTCCGATCACACGAGTCAAGAATTTATTGCAACAGTAAAATTGCATATTGCATAATTGAGTGATGAAATAAAATTATTTAACGAACTTGAAAATTTCCTTGACGGATAAATTTTTCGAAGTATTTTGGCACAGCTGCCATGAAATTCTATCGAGGAGTAATATCATTTTTTCTTCAGAACTGTAATATTTCGAAAGAATCCAGATCATTTTCAATGCCTCCATCAGCGAGGGAATGGACTCTGCAATTGTCTTGAAATTGTCAGTCTCACTCATCAACTGAAAAAAGGAGGGGGAGGGGAAAAAAGTGGGTGGCTGTGAGAGATATGAGAGATTTAAATATGTTTTTTAATTTTCTACCTTGAAGTGTCTCAAAACGGTGCTCAGAAATTTAGTATTATCTCTCGCTTGATTGTAATATTGGAATAATTCGATCTCCGAGTAATTGAAGACGGAGGGAATGGACGATCCCACATTATTCAATATGGTAATAATATTCTTAACAGCTGGAGTGGATAATTGCTCGACAAGTAATGACATTTCATTCTGTTGTTGAAGCCAGTACTCGTATTCGGCGGTAGGTCCCTTCTTATCAGGAGCATTCGCCGAAAAATTCTTCAAGGACTTCTGTATGTGATTCCCCCATGACATAACGACTTCCTCCAAGTCATTGATGGTCTTCGCCTCGAGTGACGAAAAATCCATCGTTTCAGAGCCAATAATATCCGATAATTTTGGAACGTTCAGCAAAACATCACCTTCCACATGTTGCAACGTCCATTGAACGACTTTTGTCAATTTCTCCAACTGCTCAAGCATTTCTTTCTTCGTCTGCTCCATTTCCGGTTCTTCAATTTTTTCTTTCACGACTTTTTCACTTTGAGAAGTCACTGATCCTAGCGTTGATCCTTTGGTTCCAGCTACTTTCTTTCCAACTATCATAAAAATTCAATTATTCTATTGATATCACCCAATAAATATTCCATTTCCACTATTTTGATTTCAGTAAAGTGGAACCTTTTCCTAAGTCCGAAGGTGTTTGAACGGTTGTCTGATCCCTCCCATCAAATGGCGGCAATTTTTGCATATTTTCAATTTTTCCCACTGCGACAGACATGCGCTGGTAATGGGAAGGTCGAATGAGGGCAGAAGCCTGAAGGATCAAATAAAGTGAAGTAAAATAGTAATGGCATACAAGAATTGCAATTATTATCTGAAAATGAAATGTGAGGAAGAAATTGCGAAATGTAATCGGCACCTGGGACTCCATGGCGCTGGTAAGTGTCGTTTGAGCTTTTCCAATACTATCACTTTTTGTACTAGCGTGTGTACCGCTAATTAATCGTTGCGCAGCAGCTGGACCTCGATACTGCCTCTCGATGAGTGGTTTGAAAACCTTTCAATGAAAAATTACAATTTTATGTGATGGGAAATCACACATATTTTTATCACAGCAAATACCCCATTAGGAATTTTTTTCATTAGAATTGTGCAAGCCAAAGAGTTATTGTTAAAAAAAAAATATCAGTCTCTCACATACATGAACCAAAAGATTATTCATAGCTTGCAAAAATGGTGCGCGCAGGGATCCAACAATCATGTATTCAGTGATCTGTTCATGACACGCTTGCCATGTATCAAAAGCTGGGATTCCCTTGTCCTTGGTCCTCACGAAATAAAAAAGAGTTACACCCTGCAGCTCTTTATTATGGGGATCTATTTCACCGCACAGCATGTGAATCACCGGTATCTGGACGACTTTGTCCACCACTTTCTGCCAATAATTTTCAATTGTTATTTGACACATGCTGAAATTATAATTATTCCCACCTTCGTCAGGATGTATTTGTCCTCCTCGCCAGGGGGGGGAACAAAAGGCACTCCACCCACTAGAAAATTGTATTCATCTTTGAATGATTACTCAATTCTAATGGACTCATCGAAAGAATTTAGATTATTCCAATGAATGAAAAACGTACGAGTTCCCATGCTCTTTGTCTGTTCTTTGGATTTGTGTAATGTTTGGGATAGTCTCACATCTGCTTCATTTTGCGACACACTTTCTCCGTCTTCTCCACCTTCTTCTTCAGTACCAGAGGGTACATGGGTTGAAACCCCGGTGTATATTGATCCCGTTTCGATATCGCTCAGATCCATTTTCTCCTCCTTCTTTTCTTTTTTCAATTTCTTCGGTTTTCTCTCCTTTTTCTTTTCATCCTCGAATTTCTCAACTTTTCCTAAGCGCGAGATATTAATACTGATTTTCAAAATCATTTACCAATCATAAAAAAATTTAGCAAGCCAGAAAAAAATTGTAGCGTTTCGTCATCGAATTACTACATGCCTCAAACAATTTGAATGCGCCCTGGATTATATGTGCATAAAATATTAGTCCAGTAAAATCATAAATCATTCAACAGATTAGAATATAAATGGATAAATATGGAGATATTTTCCGCAAAGCAAATGGCCATAAGGAAGTAACATGCAAATAATTTCCATTTCACTTTTACCAGGAGCACTTTTAGTTAATCGTTGAGGTCGGCCCTTAGCCGAGAACGATCCCACTGCGGTTATTTTGCCACCTGTACAGCTCGAGTTTAAAGTCAAATTTAAAAATATTTTCAGCGCCATAACTATTGGAGGGGGGGAATTACTCACTTTCTTCCCACACTGAAATCTCTTCCTGCACCACTTCATTCCTGTACGTCTTGTAAAATAATATCAACTTCTTTTCCAAATCCGTTGTGTCGTACAGATCGAGAATTAGAAAGTTGTACAATTTGTCTTCAAAATATCGATTATTCTCCTGCAATGGGTACAACATAAATTATTTTCTCAGAAATACTCAATTTCAAGTGCCCACTTACATTAATTAAATTATCGAATAAAATCTTGTGCTCGTCATTAAGACCAAGGAATATCATTACTTTACTCCTAATCCATAGAATTCTGAAGTGAAAAATTCTCCATTAGCAATTCAAATGAAAAAATTACAGGATCATAAAACGAGTTTCACCGGTAGTCCATCGTCTGGGAGGGAGACAATGCCAATGTAGAACTCCCTGGTGTTTCCACGAGTCCTTCCTGATGCTCTCCATCATTATCCGAACTGCTACTAAGTTCCGTATCTTTGTCCATTCTCCTATTTAAATTCAAGATTAAATTATTCGGAATTACTCGCACTTAAACAACATTTCTATTTGGTTCTTCCCAGGTTTAGAAAATGGTCAAGTCCAATTAAGGATTCCGCATTAGCGCTTAACGTTGCCATGGCGTTGTCATGGAGAATAACATCGATAAAATGTAGAGAAGAGTTGAGAAAAAAATTTTTAACATTTATAGAATGAAAAAAAAATGGGGGTTACGGAAAAATAATAAATACCAAGTTTTTAGTCTACAGGAGAACTATTCTTTTATTAAACCAAAGAAAAATATTAATACATAATCTTAAATGTCTTCGATCATGATTCTTATAAAATCATCAATTATCAATCATTAACTCTCGGAATTTTCAGTACTTCTATTTACATTAGGAATGGAAAGGTCAGTGAAAAGTCCACGAATGACAGCCTCGGTATATTCTTTACGTTCCTCGGCTGTATTGAGCGAGAATCCTATGGAAGGTATGAATTCAGTATCGCCGTTATCCTCTTTTTCAAATTTTTGCTCTTTCTCTCCACTCACTTGTTCCTCCAAGTCCTCCAGCTTCTCATCTCCAAATTCCACGATTCCAGTAGCTGGAGGAACATCAAACTCCAATGGAGTATCTCCTTTTTTCCTCAACTCAACTTCATGCGAATGACTCTCAGTCATTTCACCCGTTCTCTCACTGCCCCCAGGTCCTCCAGAAGGACTTTTTTCAGTGGCTCGTCGATTTTCCAAAGAGAACGGCCTTGGAAGATGATCTGCATTTTCCAGATCTGTGGCTGAGGGAACCAGGGAACGAATCTCCTGCAATTTATTCAGTACCGCGTAATTAATAATTTGTGCCCTCGAAGCATCACCTGCGGCGCTCGAATCATCACTTGAATTATTCAAAAGACTCAAAGGTTCTGCTCTTTGGGATTGCGAAATTTCAATGTCTCGAATATCACCGGAGGATTCATGGTGGGCGAGGAAATTCTTGATCAATGCACGAGGATTGAGTTCGTCCTGACCTTTCACCGAGAGCGACACTTGGTACGGTGAACTCTCACCCCCAGTTGAATCCCGAGGTTTTCCTCCACTATTTTGCTCATTGGAATCAATGATCAATCCATCTCCAACATCATTGTGAATCACATCCGTAGAATTGAGTGCATGGAAATGGTCAATCGGCGGGAGGAAGAGCTTTGAAGGCGGGGAAATAAATGGATCAGGCAATTTTTCCTCAGCACTAGGAGTGCTTTGCAGGGCTTCCGATGAAATCAACAGCCGATTGTCCACATGATTTTTCCTGGTTTCGTTGATGAATTCATTGGAAAGTGGGGGGATGACATCTGTAGCTGGCACGTTTATGATGAATGGACTGGCCGATGTAGAGTTTCCTGGAGTTTCCTGGAGCGCGTCATGTTGGTCGACATTGGAGTAATAAAAAAATGGTGGAATTATATTAGAGGCTGGGGTACCAATTGGTCCAGCCTGTTTGGGTGGATTGTGCTGGTCGTCGATGTCGATCTGGAATGTGTAATTTTCACCTGAGTATACGGATTGAAATTCAATGGCTGAGAACTGAGTTACGACATCTGCCTTGTCCATCGTAACTTCTGTCACTGTTTCTGGTTGTGATTTCTCGATTCTCGATTTGGATGTTTCAGTCAGAGTTGGTGGAACCTCAACGACCACTGAAGTTGTGGTGTCAATTGTTGGTCCTGTCACTGGAAATATTGCGGGTTCTGGCATCTTACCTCTGGCTGAGTATAGATGATCGGAACTCTCGAACTCCAGGTCATGACGAGGTCGGGACATGGGTCTTGCAGATGTTGTTGGAACTGTTGGGGAATAAAATCTTCTGGTAGTTGTAGTGACTGTTGGAACAGTAGGGGCGTACGAGGGCCTGAAGTCTCGAGTTTCGTGATTTCCGTCGTTTTTGTGGTCTTGACCGATTGTGTGGACTTTGATATTTGGATTATGCTGATTTGCAGAGGTCATTGGATCATATCCCAGCGATTGGGGATAATCTCCGGAGTTGTATCTAGAGCTGTATTTGGATTGAGGCTCTGGGGAATCATCTGTGTAGTCCCTGTAGCGATTTCCTGTCGTTTGTAGGTCGTTGATGAAGCGGGCCGATTGCAGGATCGAGTTTCTTGTCCTTGAGTCGATGGAAACACCCTTTGCTGCGGTCTGGAGGCTCGTCATCTCGTACGCCTTTCGCAGTATCTCGTCATCGTCCACTTCACTGAGTAAACTGTCTCGGTTTACAATGTGGTAGTTTCGAGTTGATGAGCAGTCCACTTTGTTCCACCAGTCGCAGGTCAATAACTTCTGGCTGAATGTTGAACCGATGGGGCAGAGGAAGGAGGAGACGAGAAAATTACCGTCGCACACGTGGAATAATTGACAGCCAGCATCTTCATCTGCATAATATCCTAGGGGATAAACGAGAAATTCATGCATTTTATGGAGAATGGTTTCGGCATTTTATCAAAGATTAAAACAATAATTATACTAATCCACAAACAAAATGAAAATAGATTTCTCCAATTTTGAAACGTCTATTAAAAGTTTCCTCATCTCACGACCATCCTAATGATTAATGTTCAAATTTACACGTTGACTAATTGTTGTGTAATGTCGCTAATTGAATGTTGCAGTTGCTTCAATCCAATTTTCAAATAATTTAAAGCCAGGAAATTCCGTGTCACTGCGTAAGCATCATGAATTTATGATATTTGTTTTTATTTACGGGTCTCGGGTGGGAGGGATGACTCTGGCGGAATTGAAGCGGCACTTTCTGGCTCGATGACCTATTACGAAACTCAATAAAATGCTAGAAGCAGCACGGAATACAAACTTAATGTCCCTCGAGGATATTTCAGAAATGCTGTGCATTTTTATCCACCAATTTATCCTTGACATCGATGCTAAAGGTGACAGACTAGAGTAAACCACCCACTATCTCCCTTTAATCTCACTTTTATTTTTTTATTTTTTCACATTAAATCAGATATAAATTAAAATGAAAATTTGTCTTGAACGCGAAAAATTTGTCAGCAAAATTAATATTTGAGAAGTTGTTGGTTTTTTTTTCTCCATGCAGCGGAGAGACTAATGAAGTTTAATTACTCATGAATATATACAAGAAAAGTTCAAAGTATTTATAATCACTCTCGAAATAATCGACGAATAAAAACTTGCTGTTTCATAAATATGGAAAAAGAGGGGAATTTATTCACCTCTGTATTGATTCTGACACTGGAAACTTGTCTGTGGAATCGTTACATACGAGGGGTAATCAACTCCAGGTTCTCCCGGAACATTTGCCCTGATGTCTGAAAAATCTAAAGAATTTATTAGCTATTACATGATGCTATCATAAAAGAGAAAAACACTTGATAATTATTAGGATTTTTTTTTTAAACAACAAATACCAAAAAATACAAGAAAAATCCTCAAACAATTGTGTTCTAATGACCCAATGACCTGAACTCCGGATTTCTTCATGGCTAATTAAATTATAGCTGGCAGGTAAAAATTTACCTGTCGTGTCTCTATAAGGATCGTATTGACCACTAGCTCCATGCGTTTCGAAGGTATCCTCCTCGTCAGGTACATAATATTTTCTACAACAATGAATTCCCATAAAATGAGGAATCGTCAGAAAATGCGAGAAGCGTTATTACCTTCCGCGCGATCCATCTATGGCTCTTCTGATGGGAAAAGATCGTCTTGGATCTCCATCCAAGGCTGGATCGAGCCCAGTGATGGTGTCAACACTCAGAAGAACACCTGAAGTCACCATAAAATAGTCCCCATTAAATTATCCGAGTGTCACTCAAACTTGCAGACCAATTAAACTTACACACGAAAAAATATATTTTCATTGTCAACCCCTTTCACTCAACAAATCAATTCAACCGATCAGCAACTTTTTCCAACTTTTTTATTTTATCAGTTATTATCATTGAAGTTGAGCGAGGTGTTCATTAAATTAAAAAAGAGAGGGAAACAATAATAGGTTTAGAAGAGATTTCTTTTGACAGGGTTGGAGCCGGTGAAATGACAATAGAGTAGTGGTTGCAGTAAGACACAAGACTCAAGACTCATCTCTGGTGTCTTCTCTCGTTGGCGGTCTACCGGTCGCACCCATGGGGTAGGGATGAGTTGGCCAGTATTGCCTCTTACCTTTCCTCCTGTCACTTTCCCACCTCTCACTTGGCTATTTTATCATTAAACCATCGACCATCAATGCACCGGCCTATTCAATGGATCTGCACTGTACACCCATCCGCAATGACACCGGCATCCTTGAACCAGTCGTCGAGGTCACCAGTCACTCCCCCAATCCAATGACTCTGATCATATGACATAAGTATATATATTTAATATATTTTTCATAATTTCGTAAATGGAGTTCTTTGAGGATTTTGAGAATTTTTCTTAGAACTTTTACTTCAGTGGAGAATGCTATTATTGACCATTTGCGGAAGAAAAATCTCTGCATGCTTCTTCAATTGGACTTGCATCTCAGGACTTTCATCTCGACCGCAATGATCATAATAAAATAGATTATAAAACATGGAATTGTTATGGAGTGAGAAAGTTATCTGGGAGATTTAATTGCCAGTACCCTGGATGGGTAATTAAAAAGAAGCCCCTGTCAATTTATGAGCACTTGCGAAATTTTTCGTGGAATTTCATTCTGAGGTACACATTCGGAAATTGCATTGAGAAAATAAAATATTAATAACAATGTCGCCAGGTGGTAATTACTCTGCATTTCGTCAGGTTATTCACATTGATGAATATTCATCCGATATCAAGGAATGACCAAACTTCCAAATAAAAAAGAAAGATTTGCAAGTTAATGTCGAAAGGAGCAAGTGACGTGCAGGCGTTACGTACGAGGAATTGTTCTTCAACTTGTGGGTATTAAATGGAAAAAATTGAGGGAGTAAAAAAAGCTTGGGATAAATTCGGCATGGGAATAGGGGATGCCATTGATGGAATAATTCCGTTTTAAAAGGTATTTCGAGTGAATGAAGTACCCGGGAAAATTGTTGTCGCGTTTGTATACATTGAGATTGTTGGTAAAGATTAAACAACTATCGTTCTCAAACGCGTGGGAATTATTGCGTAACTGTAATCGGTGAGCAAAATATATTGTGAGAGTCGATATAACTGTTTCACTTTTTTACACCATTATTTAGCTTATCTTCATCGGTTTCCGTCTTTGTGGAGAGAATTTTTTTAGCCATGAAACATTATATTTTGTTTCTAATGGTAAATTCTGGTAAATACATTGCGGGATAAATTCCCATCGCAATAGAGACAATAAAGTAGCCATTATTTTTATCCGTTAGAGGACAAATTTAATAAATTTTAATAAAGGTCGTTTCATTGAGAAAACAGGAAAATTCTCTCCAAGCGCCGGAACAAACGGAAAATAACTCGTTTCCGCTCGCAACTTGCGGAGATTAAATTTGAAATTTGAATGTGTCATCGGATATTAATTATAATAATATAATAATGAGCGTTGGAGCATTTGAATACTCAGCCGTGCATGAATAAAAAATTGTACGATTAATCCTGGGAAATTGTGATTTTTCTATGAAATTTTGGAGAAAAGTGTAACATGATTCCATTCTATTGTACTTTTAGCGCACCTCGAAAACTCCAACTCGTTCTCTCGAACTTTCTCTCATTGTCAGGCATTAGTACATCCACTTGCTCTGAACGCTCTGAACCCATTAATTTTATGTCAACGCAAAATGTGCATTTATCTGCGACATTCCAGCATCCGTCGCACGCATGTGATCTCATGTGGGATCTAATGTCCTTGTACCACTTACCATTAAGTCTGTCCATTATTAATAATAATGCGACACCCTCGATCTCTGTTTTTTTTTTATTTCTCCAGTAAATATTGCACATACGTAAAAAATATGCTTTCACATATTCCCGGGGTTCAATCATACTTTTGTAAAGGTTCTTCTATGACCTTTATTTATCATAATATCGTCATTGCGGTCGGACTATTAAATTAATGGACGTAAAAAAAATCATTTGATTATGCGGTGAATCTTTTCTGTTGGTGAATCATTTTTTCAATTGCAATATTTAAATATTTCAGTTTTTCATTGATGCTGAGTATAAAATTAATTAAAAATTCGGGAAACCGGGTATTTTTCTCTTTTCGGGGTTCATCTGCCATCTATCGATGTGACCTAATACCATCTTCACAGTCAAACATATGATAATAACTTCCAACCTAAAAATATTGATACTGCACCTACTGTACGGAAAAATACTAAGTGAAATAATGATTGTCCAGTAAAATTCCGGTGATATATTTGCAAGGTGAAGGTGAAGATGACTTATTTTTATAAATTGAACGCTGTTAAATATCAGTTATTGATTTTTAATAATTATACTGTACTTGCAGATGTTTTCCAGGAGTTTTCTGTGGAGGTCCATTGGTACTTTCGGTAATTCGAGGGTCAATTACAGTGGCAAGCCCAAAGAACTCGTATTTTTTATTGATAACATGGCAATTTGCTGGCACCCGGAGCCAAAATTCCCTTATGAATGTTCCAAGCCTCTGCCTGAGATCGAAAAACCTCCGGAATCAGTACTAAAAATTTCTGAAGAAGAGTCTTACAAGGTGTGGAGCCCACAGAAAAAAGTTCAGGTTATTGCTGAGGAGATGGCAAGGAAAACTCACACCACAAAACACATCTGGTTTCCGAGGGCGAGAGATAAAAGGGCGAAGAAAACCCAGCCTGACAGGCCTTATTTATAAACTCATATGAACATTGGTATTTCAGATATTTATTAAGATCACCAAGCAATTGTTTACAAGTTGTTGTGAAATAAATAAACACTGGTAAGATTAATTGAGCATATATATTCTTTATTGTCCTTGAGATCAGTCGTCATTTAATCAACTTTACACAATAATCATTTCAATTATTTACAATATTTCCAGTAAAAATGTAATTTCGTGAATTTTCTCTCACTCCCTGAATATATAACTCAGAAAATATATCTCCTAGGAATTATCTTACAGCCTAGTCTAAATCACAATCGAAACTTCTCAACTCCAAGATCCGTAATCATTTACTCTACGAAGAAAAAAAATTCAAGTCGATATACTCGACAACAAAATAACATTATTCCACATTCCTGGGAAATAACTGTCGCTCGCCCTCATGCATGAAAATCTGCATTGCATTATACAGCAGAAACTTTCCCAACATTTTTTTCTCCGCCATATTCATAGTAGAAACAATTCCATAATACTGACCTCTCAAACAATTACTCAAATTCGTAGATCCAAGAGCATCGATCATTGCAGCTTCCCTGGTGAAGGCCTCCTCCTGCATTGAATTCGAAAAAACCTGTAGAGAAACGACCCCCTGTCCACTCTTCCAGATCTCCATGATTCTCTTCAGCTTATCATTAGGCTGATTATTGCGTTTTTTTCCAGTCCACAAGTCAAAAGCCTCGTAAAGATGCGCAGCAGGCCTTGCAGATTTTCCTTTGCCAACGTAGAAAATTGCCTCCAGAAAAATTTTCCAACGTTCTGCTAACGATAGAGAATTTCCAGTCCTTGGAAGATCATTAGTCACTCTGGGATCTAATAGGAGGTAATTAAAGGAAACTTTAGCAATGCCTCCTCGGTAATTCCTCCCTGCCGAAGGTCTCTCGTACTCTTTGAACGCATCGTGCTCTATTTCTTTGTACTTCTGATGGTCTTTTGTCCAATCCACTGACAGCAGTTCCTTCGAGAAATTTTTTGGCAAACTAATCTGGAGTGGGGGCTCAATACCACGGGGGACTAGTTCTTTTTCACAAGTTTTACTGGTCCTCTCTAATACTCGTAGACGTTTGAGATAAACATTGAAAGTTGTATCGGTTATGGGTCCAGGAACTTCCCCCAGTGCTATCAGACGATATCTAAGGGAGTAGTGATCGACTGATATTGTGCTGTGGCGGCCGATGGAGGCGGGAACACTTGATGTTGATTCCATCGACATTCCTTCTGTCATGGGTGAAATTTAATTTATAAATTCTAAGAAAAAATTAAGGCTCGTGGGGTTTTTAAAATTTATATTCTCAAGACTTACGAAACATGTCGATCCACGTAGATTCATCTACGACATTATTCATATCTTCGCATTTACTGGAAAGAAAAAGACACGAGATTATTGACTGGTTTATCTCACCGATAACCAATTTTTTTCCGATAATAAAAATTTTTAATTACCTGGGTGGGAGTACTCTTAATCGACGTTCGAGGAAGGCGACATTTTTTTCTGGATCAACGTAAGCGTACTCCTCATCAACACTGAAGAATGTCTCGGTGCTGCACCTGGAGCTCATCGTGGATCTCAAAGGGGTTCTGAAAGCAGAAAAATTCTCCGAATCCTTCGTCACACCCGGAGAATCCCTTTCAGAAAATTTCTTAACGTTTGGCGAAAAAGTGGTATCCATCGTCGACGACGTATTTTCGGAATTCAGACTCGCTTCATTCAATGAGTCATTTGTCATTCCTGAGACTGAAGCCCGTGGTGTTCTCCCCTTTTCCCGATAAATCTCATCGATTTCATTCAAAAGTTTTTTTTCCTCACTCGTGCTCTCTCTCTTCGGTGAAGAGGTCAACGACCTTGGGTTTGATGACCCCGGACTTTCAAAGAGTAACTTGCTGCCCTCACACTTCACCGGAATATTCTGATTAATTTTTCCTTGTCTCTTCTTCATTGTAGGAGTCACCGGAGATCTAATTATATTGTTGTCATTTTTATCATTCAATTTTTTTAAAGGACTATTGCACGATTTAATCATTACGTCATTTCTAATTGCATTCTTCACCTCAATGTTATTATTAAGCGAAGGAGTCGTCGAATACTTTGCATTATTTATTTCATTGCAATTCTTCCCCTTCAAATCTTCAATCTTATCTTCAATATCATCATCATCAAATGATTTCTCCAATCTTTTGGCAAATTCTTTAGACAGCAGTCTTCTATTAACCATTTTCAAATTTTTCTCAACCTCTGGTGAAAACTCCAACACATCACTTTTTTTATAAGTCTTATTGAGAGGAGTTTTATTAATTTTCTCGTTGACTCTCTTGCCGACTCGTTGACCTCTCGATGCTGAGATACTTTTCTTGGGAGTGGAGCTCGCACTTTTGACTTGAGGAGTAACAGAAGTCGCTCTGATGGAAGGACTGTAAAAATTCTTAGGGGTGTAATTATTCCTAAATTTCATATTCTCTCTTTGGGTGGGTGTAGTGTCCATTGTCAGCCCTCCAATTCTGAAATTAGGAGAAGTACTGATGATTGAATTATCCAAATGCGCTGGAAAAATTATCTCCTTCTTTGGTGTTTCTAGATTTTTCTTGAAGTACTTGGGTTTCGGCAGAAGACTGCAAAATTTTTTCTTCCCACCATTGCTAATACTCTCCTTCTCCTTCAAATTGAAGTTCTCTTTCTCAGCTTTGTTGAACGAATCAGAGAGTCTGTGAATGATTTGTCCGATGAGGATTTTCTCCTCAGCAGCACTCCTCTCTTTATCAAGCCCCAGCAACTCTTGCCCAATCATCGGAGACATCTTTTTACCCCTGCATGTCTGATACCTCCTGAGCGTTATATTATCACTATGGAGAGATGGTGGATCCCCATGGGATGCTGACCTCGACTCTGAACCCTCGGAAAACGTCCCCTCCAAAGTTTGCGCAGCTGTATTAATTGCGCCCGTGGTGATTGAATCCTCAGTTAAATCGATCTCCGAGGGGACGTATTCAGCAACAACGTCTCCCCGATTTACAAGTATTTTCTCCAATTTTATTTGGATCTGTGGTTTGTCCAATTCGCTGCTCTCTTCTTCTTCTTCTTCTTCTTGAACTTTTGTGCAATATTGTCCTAATAAAACGATGGCTTGATAATAAGAACCGTCAAAGGCGTAGTGAAAGGGGCTTCGACCCTCGTCGTCGAGAGCCAAAGGATCTCCTCCATTAGCTAAAAGCAATTCTAGGACTTTTATTCTTCCCCAAGCAGCAGCCACGTGCACTGGAGTCATGCCATCAATTGATCTCACATTGGGATCACCTCCATGTCGAAGGAAGAGACGAGTCACTTCCTCAGCAAAAGTCTCGGATTCATTACCAATTACCAGATGAAAAGGGGATATACCATGCATAGGGAGTAAAATATTGGGATCAGCCTCCTTGTGCTCCAGGAGAGTCGTCACTTGATTGATGTTGTTATCTTCGAGACCGTCACGCAATGAAGACGCTAGGAACAGCTCCTTTGGTTTTGGTGCTGACATGATTGATTAATTCAGCCGATAATACAATTTTCGAGCAAATTCAATTTGTTCATTCGACATTTCCTTGTTGCTGTTTTACTTTTAAGGAGAATTCGTGATTTATGGGAGTCTTAATTTTTTTGAGTTATTACTGTCTTCGCGATTGAGTTTTTTTTCCAATAATTTCTGATAAACATTTCACCACATATAAACACTTCCCCTTTGAGATTGGCTCAGGTCAAGAAGACAATAAAATTGTTATTCGTGATAATGGTAGGAGTAATGAGATATGAACTTGCCGAGACTTGTTAAAACCACCAGTTCCAGTCTTTCAAAATATTGTCAGCATCGGTTAAAAATCCTTAATTATTTGCTGGGGCAGAAAGAAATCACGGTTGAGCCCAGAGAGGATTCACTAAACCATATGACGCCACACGAGAACTTTACTGCCACCATGAGGTGGAAATTCAAAGTTTTAAATAATGAAGGAACATTCAAAGTCGTTGCCAAGGCGACGCGTTTTAATGAGAATTTCCTACAGAATATTGATTTAATATCTCGATGGATTATCCAGGGAGAAAAAAGTGTTGTGATTATTTTTCGAGTTCTTAGGGATTCTGGAAGGTGAAAAGTGGAAAAAATGGCGTTTGACCATGAAGAGACTATCACGGGGTTGATAGAAAAGCCTTCGGTGCAATACAATCCCCCTGCTAGGTAAAAAAAATCCTAATTTATGGTTTATAAAAATATTCAAGCTGCCTATGATTATCACAGCATGAATAATTTTATAATTTTTTTTTTAGATACATCTCTAAATTTCGAAACTCGGTAAAAAGCGCATCAAAAGAAGGAAAAAGTTCTCACAAAACCTTGGGAGTTCCCAGCATCCGACTCCCATCCCCAAGTGAATTTTTGAAAAAGAATTCAAGAATCGAGGTGAAGAGGGACGTAAAGCACAAACATTATCATATTCCTAATTACCAGCACAAATTACCTGCGTGGGAGAAAGTGACAAAAAAATCGAACGAGGGAACTGGAGATGGAGAGAAAGACAAATCTCCCTCTCGAAATTTCGCGAAACGAAATATCAATAATGCAAAAAAACTACAACCTCGAATTCCTAGAGTATATTATATTGACGACAGACGAGGCAATGCTCATCCATTAATTCCTAGCGGACTTTATCCGCTCTATCGAGATCGAAAGGTAATCACATCGTCTCATAAATCCGTTTATGCAGTCGAAAAGAATTTCAGAAATTCCAGAAGTATTTTTTTTTATCTTGAAGGATCAATCTCGGGAAAAAATCTCTCGAATGAAAAAAAAAACAGGGGCAATGAATTATTCAATTCGATGATTACTATCGACTGAATTCGATTAAAAACCATTGATGCCCTGATTACTCCTTTATTTGCATTCCCAAAGATCATGTTTTTTCATGATCACGATTATCAATTTGACTTTTTATCTCTTTTAGAATTTGAAAGAATCGATGGGAAAAAAATCATTACTAGGAAGAGAGGAAGTGAAACGTTCAACAATAAAAAAAGTCGATTCGAAAAATAGAAAATTATTGCCTGGATCTGAAGGGGGGACGGGGGAAGAGGAGGGCGGGGAGTCCGAGACTTTGAGAAGCCGAGAAAATGCTTCTCAACCTTCAGACCATTCTGAATCTACGGTGCGTACGGCCGATGCAATTGCAGCTTCTCGAAATAAAAAGACAAAACAAGAAATGTGTCGATATGTCACTGACGAAGAACGAGTTGACCTCCTATATGTAAATATAATTAAATTATTCTGTTATTGCTCTCATAATTTATAAACAATATTAAATGCAATTAATAATCTGTGATAGGGAATGAAAAAGAAATTCGAAGAGCTGATGCACGAATTCCAGGTTCTCCCCTTCCTCACCGACACTCCGCCGAAGGCCAAGAGAAAAGCAAAAATGGAAAAAGACTTGAATCAATTGGAGAAAGACATCGATTTAATTGAACGCCATCCTCATATTTACGTTTACGAAGGAAATCAATCAATTTGAAAAACTATTTTGATGGTCTTGATTATAAAAAATATTTCTAAAAGGACAAAGAAATTGCCAAACACGGAAAAATAGTGGGCAACTAGAAAAATTGTTTATTCAGCCATTTGTACATCCTCCCCGGCCTTTTTGAGGCCCCCCTGGTCCTTATCATTGATAACAAGAGGCTGCGGTGTCTCCACTATTTTTTTTTTCAATCTCACACCCTCTTGCCTCCCCTCATTCCCTTTCTCCTTTTCCCCAGTCTCCCCCTCAAATCTCTTATAAATTGGAATATCCCAGATAGGTCTAGCCGATAGATTTTTACTTTTTTCCACCTCATCATAAATGCCCAGAACTCTGGCATCAAAAATCACAGGAACATCACAGTAAAGACACTTTATCTCCTCGTACTCATCGTCCAACGTAGGATGAAATATCCTCCCACAGACTGGGCAACTCCTGTATTTCAGCGAAGTGATCTGCAAGAGTGTGAGAGCACAACGAGGCAGCTGATGTCCCCTGGGACAGCTGGAGATATTCCAGGGGAGTTCCGTGACAATCTCCCCACACAAATTACATGTTTCAGTCTCAATGAGCTCCATATTGGACGTCACATCCATCGCATCCTTGGCATGTCTTATCGCTTTATTATTTTGATTACTTTCATCCTCCTCTCCAGCGAGAAAAACCTCCAGATAAAGCCTCAAAAAATGAATACTCAAACGTTGATTGTCACTCAGTACTTTCTTCTTTGCCAATTTAATCATATGCTCCGAGAGTGTGTAAACAAAAATCAGGGGCTGGGCCTCAGAAATCTCTCCCACCACATTATCAATTTTTCTAATCAACTTTTTTTTCTTAACGACTTCAGTTATCAACGTCAGCCACATTATGATGCGCAGCTGGTGAATTGATAACGACTGGTCGAGCTCCTGTGGGATTTTGGGGTATTGATTGTCAGCATCTGCCTTTGCTGACTTTATCCTTATCATTTCGAGACAGTCCCAATAGGCGTGGAGGTTCGATTCACTTTTTTCTAGTCTGCATAGGGGATCGAACTCTGGGGATTTAAGGATGAAGAACTGTAGATTGCTGGGCTCTCGGTTGCACAAGTGATCGTAGGCTGTGCTGGGGCTTGTGACGTTGACGAAAGTCGCACCACTGAGAGATCTGGCCAGTCCCAGATACTGAGTCCTCACGTATTTCATGTCATGACCTATTAAAGTTCTTTTTAGTGGGGTGGAGTCCAGGTTTATGTGGTGAAGACTGCCGTTCTGGGTCGATACCATTGCCTCTGAATTATTTAGAAGCAAAATACCTGAGATACAAAATCCCGGCAACTTCAAGTATTTTTTCTCAACGATATTTCCTTCTTCGTTGATATCAATGAGGATAAAATGAATATTTTTATTAAATGCAATGATCCTTCCTCCAGTGGTTTTCGCTCTTGTGGTGATGAAGTTGATTGGCATTCTGTCAGGCTGTTCTTCGTATTTGATAATTAAACCATCACTTAATTCGTTTTCATGGTCATTCACTGGGAGACCGTAAAGTCGTCCGTCGAAGAATCCAATGACAGCTAAATGTTGTTTAGGTTTCAAGGTTATCCAGAGAATTTTTGAGATCCTCGTGTGCCCGTGGAATTTTTTTCTGTAGACCATTATTGGTGTGACGCTCATAGAAAGTTCTGTTATTTTATTTATTCTCCAGATGACGAGTTCAGAGCTGCGCCAGGCTGTTGTCAGGTAGGAGAATGTGCCTTGAGAGTCTTTATAAAGTTCACTCCAGGTTACTGACGTCCCCTGGAGACGTCTCAAATTCGATTTGAACATGTCCCCAGTGATTTCCTCAGGGTTGCAGGTCTCCACGCTGAAGTCCAACTCCTCTTTGATTATCTCAAACCATATTTGAGAGAGGTTCGAGACCGAGAACCAGTTTGCTCCCACCTTGAAGGTGGTGTCGATGGCACCTGCTGAAGTGATGGTAGCGAGGAGACATTTTGAGGGATCTACCAGCTTCACTGGGGACCATGCCACTTGGATTATCCGGGGAACGTGTTCAGTTCTTTCTGGAAAATGCGGCGTGATGGCTTCTTCGAGGAGCAATGAGTACATGTCTTCTCTTTGACAGTTATTGGCAACGGTTTCTACTATTGGCGAAAATATCGCTGTTGGCAGGTAGTCAGTGGCCCATAAAAAAGATCTCCGGAATTTTGGAGTTGGTGTGGGGCATAATGGATTTGGTTGCAACTCCTGAAGACGGGGAAAAAATTAATGTTCAGCTCAATAAGCAAATAATCGGTCCCACTGAATTTTCAATGAAAATCTGAGATGAAGGGTATCTCGGATGATGCACTTACGAATATGTGAACTCCTCGCTCGGTTAACAGAGATATCTGATTGTCCTCAGACCATTCAATACTGAATGGAGCTGTTACAAGTTCAGTTATTGGTATATTGTAAACTTCTTGAGCCTCCATTGCATACCTGTGAGAAATAATTGCACTCAGAAAATTTTTTTTTAATAGATGGAAATTATTTCAACATAACATACTGTGCAAGATTTGATAAGATTGGCGACTGGTTAACCCTGAGTAATGAATTTTCGGAGTAATTTCACACCTCTCCTAACCAAAAGTAAACAGCACATGCCATTTTTAAATGGTTCTGTACGCATGCGTTGAAGAGGAGTCGAGATTATTGCGTTAAAAATCCAAGAGAAGTACAATTGGACGGCAGTCGTGTTGAGAACGTGTGCTCGCTCAGCCACAATCGTTAACACAATTCCTTGTACGGTATTTCCCAATTCCTAAATTTCCTTAACACCTGTGCCTACAAAATAATAATGTCTCATTGTTGATATAATCCATAACCATATGTCGACCACCAGAGGGCGGTTGATTGGTTCAATTATACATATGTACTATGTATGTACAGTCGGATCAAAATGGCGTGCATGTTGTGAAGTTGTAACGTTGTGCAGGTGAGAATAACAAATTGTTCAGCCAAATTAAAATGGTCTGGTGTGTTATTTTTGCTTCTGGTTATTGTAGTTGTTGTATTTAGTGATGGTGGAGTAACACCGGCTGTGTTTTAACGGAATAGCTGGACGGTGAAACGATGAGTACACTGGCGAATCCGGAGAAATAATGATGGCAAGAAAAATTTGTGCATGGTTACAGAGAGTATTATTTAAGTCGTGTCATCCGCGTTACCACGTAGCTCACCGGGAAATATGTCATGCCGTGTCAATCATAATCACTTCTTCCATACCACTCTATTCTATTTTATTTGATTTTTCACTCGTTAATGTCACTACCAGGTTTTTTTTTTCAGCAATTTTTGCTACCTCCCATGATTATTGCACTTGTCGATCAAACGAGATTTAGTGGCTCTTCGGGATTTTGTCGAGGTACGTGTCGTCCCCGATGTCGAGTTTATCTGCTGGCTTAATACTTGAGTTTTTATGCCATCTTCACGTGTTTTTTTTTTCTTTTCGTTGAGGAAGTTAATATTTTATCGGACGTAGGGGACTTGCGAATATGCCACATAAGGCACGATGTTTATGTTATCGAATGTTTTTACGAGATTGTTTTGCATGAGTACTGCGTTGTTGAGGAAAATTTTGTGATGATTTTGTAATATCGTGGATTTGTTGTGGATTTTTTATTTAATGATCGAAGATTTTTCAAGTGGGTGCAACGAGAAACCAATTGACGATGGGGATGAATATTATTATCGTGTAATCGAAATTAACCATTTTTTTTCCCCACTGCAGTGACAAATTTCACTTATCTCAAGGCTTTCTGTGTGCACCCTAGCTCCCTTATCAGCGCGATAAAGTCACCATATTTATACACACATTTATTGGTGATTATTAAGCTACCTTACTACGAGATTACACTCGTTAGACTCCACAAATCATTCAATAATTAATGTTCGATAGGATTGTTTTTTTTTTCCATTTTTATTTGAATTGGACTGGATTTCTATTTTTTTTTTATCAGGAAAATTTGAGTGATAACCGTTTGGAGTCAATTATCTTGACACTACCACTGTTCTGACCTTCATTTGCAATCTCATAAACCGTTGCAGCGTTATCGTATGCAGTGTCCTTTCAAATTGTATAACATATTTTTGGAATAATTTGGAAGGACAAATTGTGTCGATTGTCAATCGAATGGGCTTGAAATTCTAATTGGCTATGTTTGAACTATGGTTTTTATCCTGACTGCATTACGTCATCAAACAATATAAAAAAAAAACCTCAGGAATCCTCGCGGGATAAATAAAAAATTTGTACCGTCGACACTTGGAACGAAAATACACGATGCACTTGAATTTCTGAGAGCCCCGAAAAAGCCTGCACTCACCTGAAAATTGGGAAATTTTCTGTTTAGGCCATGGAGTGTCCTGCGAGACTAATGGCACAGCGCGTTTAACTCCTCACGAGAATCATTTTAAAAAACGCCAGAAAACGTGCGTCACTCTCCGATAAATCTCAAAAAAAAATAATGTACAATGAGCTACAGCGGGAATATGCCAGATTGGCATCAGTATAACCCCCCTCAGCCAGGACGCACCACAACAACGTCCCACACTCAAAATGCCCCGTCGTCTCACCACTTCATATCCAGTATTAGCCCCCCGGCGTCAGACGGGATAAACCTTTCAACATCTCAACAATCTACTCTAAAACACCAGCGAAATGAGGTCAACTACCCTCGCAATTATCCCACCGCAGCCCATCATGCAGGTGCAGGTCCAACAAGCACCGCTTTATCAACCCCAGGGGCTCATCACCCTCTCTCCAACTGCCCAGGACATTATGGCACCCCCTCTAGGCCTCCATTGCTCGATCCTCCCTCCTTGCATCCTCCTCTCCCCCTCCCCGATCCCGAAATCCCTCACAGAACCCCCCAGATGGCCTTCTCCACACCCGTCACCCACTCCAATGCAAACCTGACAGTCAATCCCAATCTCCACACAGGAGGTCTCACCTCCCAGGTCTCTCCCGTCGCTCCCCTCTCTCCAGGAAGACAATCCTATCCCTGCAAACTTCCTTGCTGCAATCCAGACACCCAAATGGCCTATCAACACTGGGAAAAATACAACCACTATCAGACCAACTCGACCTACAGGGAAAACCTCCAAAGAACATCATTTCCAATGGAGAATCGAAGGTACGTTCCTGAAATAAATTTGCGAAAAGACTGCGCCGAGAGTAAAGAACATACAGGCACATCCTTCCCCGGGAGCTCCTTGGAGCATCGTCGATCCTACGACTATAAATACAGGAAGGAAATGTCGAGGAATTACTCCTCCGGAATTCATCCCACCTATCCAATGCAGAGCTACAATTTTCCGAGTGATTGTCAAAAATGTCCGCATTCAGTGAAGGACTACATGAGACGAGGTGGAACGTCATCATCGATCAATCAACAAAACCAACAGATGATGAAGTATCCAGAGCAGCAGATACCCCAGAAGTACAATGGAAAATTGAATTATCAAAATGGAAATCATCAACCGGCGATGCCAACCACCAGCACAACCAATCTTCCATCTCCTCTTCAGAATTCCTACTTTAATACACCGATGTCAAGAGATGTACCTCGAGAATTTCCCCGCGAATATCAAGAGGCGAACGCAATAAACAGGATACAGCCCCCAGGGAATACCTCCATAATGCATGGCAGTTACCAAAAATTTCACGTCTATCAGCAAAAAATTGCGATGCAGAGGTTTTCCCTGGAGAATCACCTCAGGGGAATAACGAGAGTGCCAGGATACCAGTCCCATCCGAAGTATCAAGAATGGATTATGAGATATCGAGAGATATTGAGACTCCAGCAAAATATAGATTGTCAGAATTTCCTCCAGGAGCCAAAGATCCCTTCAACTAGTCCAAATGCTCCAGTCCCACCAATTAATCTACAATTCGATCAAAATGGATGTCTAATAAACTCTTCATTCACCCACGGACACTATCCAGGGATGCATAATTCAGTGAATCCGGCGCCAAATCCAGAAGTCCCTGAAACATCACCGCAACCTCCAGGAAATGTGATGAATCCCCTGGATCAGAACATGTATAAGCATCCCGATCAATCGATCACCATGCCACGGGACGAATCTCTTCGTCATCTCCGTAACGATGTCCCTGGGCAATATCGACTGCCCGACAATCCCAACGATAACTTCGATAGCATGATCGTCGATGTAGACAGCATAGATCCCACGAGAACGATGACATCAGGAACTGAGACGATGTCAACGACAACAGCACCAACAGCTGACTTAGCAAATTCCCGGGAGTTCACTGACAAACCACAATTAGACGTGCGACAGTTCCTCGCCAATTGGGACGAGACGGAGGAGGAAGAGGGAAATGGCAACACACAGGAAGTATCAAGTAATCCGAGCTCAGTGATTGTGAGAAACATGAGAGAAGTTAATGCTCAGAGTCATAGCAGTAAGGTGGCTAGTCCCCAGGAAACCCACCTCCATAATCAGAGCTCCAATCAGAATATAAATATGAATACAAGTCCAATACAAAATGTGAATCAGAATGAGCAGCAGGCAGCGTTAAATACGTCACCAGTTGAATCAACCCCAAACACAAATATCGAGACAACTGTAATGGAATCGTCTGAGGTGGAGACCATTGCGTCAGACGAATTGAAGACTATCGAAGACTTAACTAGCTCTGGAGCTATAGTCCAGTGCATTCAATCTGATAGCAGTGATATTCCTACTATTCATATCGTCGATCATTTGCCACAAGATTCTGAACTTGCAACTATTCGAACTGTTTATGGAGACGTGACGTCCCTGAGTATCGAGCAAATAGCATCAGCACCAATTGAAATTATCAACGATAATCAGGAGACCGGAGAGACCATCACTCTATTTGGGCAAGATACTGGGGTTTGCTCGAAGGAGCCAGAGTGTCCCAGCGAGGAACTTGAGGAAGCATCTGGGGTGATCGACGAGGTGGGCTCGATGGAGCTCTCACCATCCTCGAGGAGTCCTGTCAATTTAACAACTAATAGTGCGGCCAACGATGGAAATAGATCTGAGGAGATGCCACAAGATGGTTCTCCACCTCGCGACACCAATGAAAATAATCAAAAGACTCAGATTAGTGAAACAACTCCCCTGGCACCGTCCTTAACCACTTCTCTCACAACTTCCCTGAGGAAACAACACAGTTTCGCGAGTGAAGAGTCTCACAATCCCGATGATATCAGCCTCCCAGATCTCCCGATGTCAGAGTGCACTCCAATATCAACGACCTTGAACACTCCAGTGCATTCCGACAGTGAAGAGTCTTCAGGTCCCGTGGAAAATCTCTCGATATCAACGAATCCTATAGAAGTCGTTCAGAATTCTCCAATAATCAGCTTCACTCATTCACCCCTGAAAACCGATCCTTATAGTAATCTTGAGACTAACAGACTATCAGATAAACGTCCACACAATTCTCTGGACTTTGATTTTGTTGGGAGTTCGGATAAGGATTCAGCGGTAATTGAGAATTTTGAAATAGCCAGAAGATCATCTCCAGAGTCATCTCTGTCGGGCTCAAAGAATCCAGAGGAGTTTGAAAATCGTTCAGAAGTGCCTTTGATGAGTAACCCTGAGAAATCTGATAAGGATCAAGAATTTTATCCATCTTCTGATCCCCTAGTAGGAATGAACAAGGAGAAAAAAAATTCAAACGAGATAACCGACTCATCTAATGATATTACTCAAGTTGGCGAGTGTTCAGTGGGTTCATTAAATAGTAATCCAGTGCCAGGTACTCCAGTCAGTCGTATTTTATCGACTGATGAGATCGACACTGGGAAATGTCCATCAATTATTGATACCGAGGACTTTCAGCCAACAGATGACCTCGATAAACTCTGCAATATATCATTGGATAGCTCCTGCATGATGCCCTTAATAGCTGAGGACTCGCACGACCCTAGACTTTCAATAGTTTCGATCGATGGTCTCAAAAATGTTTTGCCAATTAGTAATTTGGATGATCTTGACTCGTCCGATGACGAGGAAAAGGATCATAATGATTGGGTGGAAGTTGGGTCAATGGACGGATGTGTAGAAACAAGTGGTGCTAATGATATGATAATCATGCCAAATGAAAATCCAAGTATTGAAGTAGCGTTACGCGAGACTGAACTCTTGAGTGAAGATAAACAAGAAAAGAATACACCTCAAAAGGCTAAATACATTCGTTCGATATTTGACACCTCTGAGGATTCGCAGAGCACTGGATTTGAGGAGTTCATGAGGAGACGAGAGGAAAGAAACGTGAAAGATCGTTTGAACGCATTAGCCGAATATAGAAGAGACAAACTAAACATTTTGGAGAGTGTGAATATTCAAAAAAATTCAAATGAGGGGGAAATTTCTCTCTCAAAGTCACATCTCGATAATTGTGGTGTTGATTTATCAATTATCGCAGGAAAGTCCTTCGAAGAGCCACCGACAGAAATTCACAGAAATCAAATAATACGAAAAATCGAACCTCTAAATATCGATGCCTGCAAAGTCATTCAAAGTTTTCGAAGAACCCATAAAGACACTGACGTTGAGATACACGTGGCGAACATAAATGTCGAAAAACTGTGCAATTCGACCAGTGAAGAGGCAGATGCTATTGAAATAAAGATAAATGTATCGAGACACGATAGAAAAAATCGACTGAAATGTGTGGAAACAGCAGGCGACGCGAAGAAAAGTTATTTTGCCGAATTTGAAAATGGAAATTATCGACCACAGAAAATATTTCCTCGTAGAAGGATATCGAATCCTGAGTCAACGGGACCAAAGAAATCATCGAAAAATATTCGAAGGAGATACAGTGGAGGCCACAGCTACAGATTCCACCGTAAATCGACTGAAGAGCGAAACTTGGAGAGAATTCGACTGGAGCCGCTCCCAAAGCTTCCGCCTCTTCCAAAATCATTCAATAAATCAGAGACTAGTGAGGTGAGCTTGTCGGAGGGTCCAGTATCCTCTCATGATGACTCCCAGACATCCACTGGGATATCAATTCCCACAGAAACACCAAATACTTGCGACAGTCAAGGTACAGAGGAGGAAAGTATCTTTGAGGATGCGGAAATGTTGAAATCGAAAAATCCAAGTCGGAGAGAATCCTTGGACTATGAGAATTTCGCCCCCGATTTCGATGAATTGGAGAACATGGCGACGAGATCATCGCAGTCAAGATTAGGTGATGTATCTTTATTGAGCTCTCTGGTAACTCCAGGACCATCCCATGCATCACAGACCACCGATTTATGGTCTAAAATGAATTTCTCCATTGATCCGTCAGCCATGGATTTTGATAATTTCGACGTGGCTCCTAATGATAATCACAATGACATTCCCATTGAGGACAGAACCTCCTCAACATTAACAGAAGATCGTGCTCTCAGTCGGAGATTAGAAGAATGTGAAAAATTTCGAAATCCCTATTCGAAAACTCCCGGCAGTGAGTCCCCAGAGGTGCACCTTAATACAGTTCCTATTTACACGACCAAAGACGGTAAAATAAAATACAGTCCTAATCCTAAGTACACGTACAGAGTTTTGATAATGGAAGCTAGACAACGAGAAGGATTATCTTGTGATTTTTTGAGGGATAATTCTCTCAGTGATAGGAGGATGAAAGATTATCATGGGAAACGATTGCAAAAACGTAAACAAGAGACACCAAATAAAGATGATAGAAGAAAATACTGGAGTGAGTACAATGTCATGAGATCGAAGGATTCTTTATCGAGGAAACGATTGGAGGACTCGTCGTGGAGGACTAATCGATCGAATAAATATGATAGATGGAGAGAACGACCTCCGGAATTAGAGAGCGATGAAGTTTCGATTGGATCGTGCAAATCGGACTTTAATAGAGCTCTCTTAGGAAAGAAACCTGACAGAGTAAATTCTGCAGAGGATTTTAATGACTTACCGATAAAAAAAAGCCATTTGCTCCCTGATAAAGAACGGGGAACTGATAGTTTAATGGTTGGATCGATAAATAATCTCTCGGTTATGAGTCAGGATTCAAGGACCGAGGTGGTATCGAGTAACGTCAAGTGTGTTGAGAATAGAATATTTAATGGAGATGAGTTGGAATTGTTTTCGAGAATTGTGTTGCCTACACCTGAGATGGTGGATAGAACGAATTGTGAGGTGGATAAACAAAAGGACACTCCATTGAATGATTTTGAAGAGATAGTTGAGGATAAAATTGATTTATGCAAGGAGAGGAGCGGTGGAGGAGTGCCGGAATTGAGTGATGAAGAGACTAAAGACCCCAAGGATGCGATAGAATTTTTTAAACCCCCGTCAACCATTGATGTTGAACAAGATTCTCAAGCTATTTTAACGGACAGTGGTCTTGAATCCTCCACGACATATACCGAGGGCTGTAAAGAGCCTAAACCACTGCCAATGTGGCAACGAGAAATAATTACGAATGCCGAGGGGAATCCCGTAATTAGACAATGCGAAAAATCCTCAGTAATCCGCTCTCAAAGCATAAATTTAACATTGGAGGAGAATAATGACAAGAAAGAGGATAAAATTGAACAATTGGAGGAGATTATTGTTGATATGAGAGATGAAATGAAAGATGAAGTTGAAAACGAAGCTGGGGAAATTGTCAGAGAAGAAATCAAAGAAAAGTCTCAGAATAATGAAGAAATTGTTGTGAAAATAATTGAGTCTCCAAAGGATGGTATTTCTCGTTCTGAAAACCCTCAATTGCCTAAAGAACAGAAAATTTCTGACATAACAAGTCTGGAGGCTTTGTTTCCAAAAAATCACCAGAGTAATTTTGAAAGTAGTATTCTCAAAGGATTGGATTTGGCTTTTCCAAGCCGCCGCATTGTAAAATCGGAGCGACAAAAAATTGTTGAAATTACGAAAGAGGATTCTACAATTAATGAAGAAAGTGTTTCAAAACCAGTTGGAATATTCGAGGGACATTCATCGAGTTTTTCATCGACTAGAAAATCGCAAGTGCCTACGAGGAGAGCTTCAAGCGACGAAATGAAAAATTTCAGAGAGAAAATTCCGCCTTTCCAATCAAAATTTGAGTTTCTACCATTAAATCAATTATTTTGCGACTTTAGAAGAACTGAAATGACTAATAAAATTTCCGAGGAGGTACAGGACATTGAAATGAGAGGAGAAGAGAAAGAATCACAAGGCAAAATGTCAAGAGAAATATTTGAGGATTCTCAGACGACTGAGCATCAATTTGAAAAACCGGAAGTGCCTCCAGTGAATTCAATAAAATCATTCGTAACTTCAACGCGTAAAACTCTGCAGGTTGATACACCTGAGATGTCCACGGAGTCAGAAGTTTCGATGTTCGACGAAAGTCTCAGCTCAACTCAATTTGGCAGCGAGTATGCAGCCTCGAAACCAGATGAGGGCAGTAGCACTGGAGTTAATTTTTTGTCAACATCGAGTCAAGAAGCTATAGATGCCACTGATCTCAAAGAGGTACGAAAGAATCTCGCATTGTGCGCCTTGATTGACAAATCAGAGACAATTGAAAAATCACCGGTGATAACTCCTGACGATAAAATCGAGGCGCGAGAAAAAATTTTAATATTCTCAGGACGAATTACTTCAGAGAGTGAGGATGACTCAAACGCTCAAGACGGATCACCTATACGAAGAACTCTGGAAGAAGATTTGAGAATTAATCCGAATGAGGACAATGTTTTAAATTTCTCTGGAAAAATTCAGAGCCCAGAGGCTCCATCAGATCCTCATATCTCATCCCCTTGTCGATTCGATTTGCCTATTGGAACAGACGGGACCAGTAAAGGCCTGAATTTCTCTGGAAAAATTCCAAGTCCAAAAAATTCAGAGGATTTTTCTCCAAAGTCAGAGCATAAATTGGAATTGACTCGAGGTAAAAATGACGAAGACAAGAATTTGACATTTACTGGGAGAATACAGAGTGAGAGTCCACCAAAAAGTCCAACCACCTTCGATAAGATTCCAAAGTTCATAATAAAAAAGACTGACTGCTCATCGAGATCCTCCTCGATCTCCCAAATATTTCCCTCTGACACTTCTGCTCAAAGGAGTTTCGACAGTCGTGCAGTATCCTTACACAGGCCATCATCACACCCAAAGATACCAAAGATGATAATAAGAAACGTTAGATCTCGTCCTGGAACACCAACAATAGAAGAAAATGCCGTGGAACTTTCTTTCCCGAAAACCAATGAGTCTACACACCAGAAGGTCTTCGAGGTGAAAATTAAATTCGATGAGAAATCCACTGGAAATGATCCAGGCCCTCACATGCGAAAAGCCCTAGGTATAATCGAGTGCAAGGTACCAAAGATGAAAATCAAACTCGAGGACAAGCACTCAAAAATGACATTTGAGAACGCTTCGATGGAATTGTCAGGAAATGACTCAGAGTCCTTCACCAATGTTCCTAAATTAAAAATCAGGAAGATAAGGAAATCGCATCTCCCTCAAGATAAGAAAAACACTGTGTTACTGCACGATAAACCCAATAATCATTCGATCATACCCATGACTGCCACAGAATCGAGCATTTCAGTGGAATCATCTCTCCACCCTTCGGAACTTCCTGATAAACTCTTCGACAAAATTCCAAAATTAAAAATAAAGAAGCAAGAGTCGAGGAAGTCCTCGCCATCTCCCGATTCTTCAAGGAGAAAACGACCAAGGAGTCCTCTGGAGTCATCGACGAAACGCTTGAAAAAATCTTCAAATCATCATCGATCGGCCGAGTCTCGGGACTCGAAATTTTCTCCAGTTGACCTTGAAACAACGACAAATTCGATTACTGGCCTTTCTGAGAAAATCCCTAAAGTGATAATTAAAAGGGCCTCATCCACATCAGAATTCAAGTGTGAGCTGAGTAAAGATGGGGCTGAGGGAATAATCAGTAGCTCTCGATGGCAGCCAGAGGTGAAACTGGAGCGCTTCAAGGTCTTGGATTCAATAGCAAAAGAACAGGGAACGGTTCACCTTCCTGGTCATATCCTGGAGGAAGTGACTAGGTCACTCAAAACCGATGAGCACTCGAGGAGTTCGAGGAAATTTAAGAGAACGTCTTCTGTGCCGTCTAGGAGGCGTGACGAGTCTGACAGGTCTTCCAGCAGGGGCAGAAGACGTTACTCTGACCCGGAGAAGCAGCAGTGTTGTCAAATCAATGACTCTGAAAGCGAGGATCTTCCACGAAGAGTTAGAAGGCATTTTACCAGACCCTTGATTGATTTTTCAAGTCAAGACGAAAGTCTGAACACTAGATCCGAAATATCATCGATAATATCGAAGCTAAAAGATTCCCCTCTAAACGAAAAAATGCCACGACTAATTGTACACGCTGAGGATACTACCAGAAGTGAATTCGAGTACCCGAGCATCAGTTCTAGTGACAAACCCTCGAAGAAAAATTCTCAAAAGCTAATGACACCGATACCAACGGCTGAGAGTGTCATTGATGCTACAGCCGATACAAAAAGCTCGGAAGATCAATCTGTCATTAAACTCGAGTCCTCGGACGACAGTCAAACGACGATAGAGATGCTCCCAGCGGCCTCAGACACCTCCCAACCAGAATCTGAAATTCCAACACCTCTGGAAGGTGAGAGAAGAATAGCAAATGGTGACATGGCGAGATTGTACTCGTCTGATGCAATACCAACGCAATTCGAGCTAGAACTCGAGATTGTTGATAACTCTTCGGTATCTATGGAGGTTCCAGTACCCGGGATACAATCATCACCATCCAAAGGGCACGAAGAGTATCTCTGGAATTATCAACAGCAGGGGTCTTCACCATCGGATGCTCCTGGACCGAGTTTTCTCCCTGACATTCATAAAATGGAATCACAAAATATTCAGAGTGAAGCTAAAACTATCTGCTCCTCTGACTTACTGGTTAAGGAAGTTTTAGCTGCAAAGGAAACCTTAAAAAGGTACTTAGCATCTTCCAAAGAGGTGTCCAGTCCAGCTCCGAGGATGAAGACTGCTGCCGAGAAGAAGCAGTTCTCTGCTTTCGAGTCTCCAAGAATTTCTGGGAAGGAGGAACGAGTTGTGAGTGGAAAAGAGAGGAGTGTCTTCCAGAAGGATGTGGGAACATCTGGGGATGTTTCAAGGGTCGAGGGATCGAGGTCGAGGAATGGGGAGAGATTGAAAAAAGACAGGAGCTGTTCGTCTTCGGTGAGAAAGGAAAATTCAATGAGGAAGGATGGTCAGAAGGTTTCTAATAAGGAAACGATGCCTAAATCTAGTCGTGATGGTACAAAGGAGCTGAAGAGGGAGAGAAGTCACAGTGGATCCAGTGAGTCTACCTCCAAGAGGATGAGGCCGCCTTCTACCTCGGGATCGTTGAGACGAGAAGAGAGACGAGAGTCATCCAGTAAGGCCGAGGGGATGCGAACGAGTGATGGAGGAAGCAGAAGCCATAAAAAATTTAATTGTGTGAGATCTCATGAGAATGTGAATAGCAGGGAGACGAGGATGAGGGAGGCGATGCCTGTGTTGGTGCCTGAAGGGGGTATTGTCATTGAACCGAGCTTGAGGGAAACATCTAGGTCTCCACCCGTTATCACCAAGCAGGAGAGCAGTGAAATTAATGTGGAGAGTCCGAAGAAAATTGAGGAGAGCGTCAGCGAAAAAATTCGGGAGATTATAGAAAGGGAGACCGAGGGGATGACGTTCGCCGATATTGTTACAAAAATGGCTTATCATGAAAAGGCAACAATAAAACACAAGAGATACTGCATACTCTGTGAAAGATGGTTCCCAACAACCGCCAGGCACCGAAGACATTTAAGTGGATATCAGCACCGTCATACAGAGCTCACTCAACGCCGAACCGTCCATGCACTATTTATGCTCTTCACTGGAAAACCATGTCCAAGATTACTGCCTGCTAGTATCGTTAGAACTGACTGTACACCTGGAGAGGCAACGCCACTTCAAATCGCCATTCAGGTAAATTTATCTTTCTTCAGAAAAACATTTAATATCCACTGATAAAAAAAAAAAACTCATAAAAATGCATTACATGAAATTATCAATTTTTTACAGGATGTAGCAATAAGTCTGGAGAAAGGGGCTATAGACAAGATAAAAAAATTACACGAAGAGGATAAATGAATGAGGTGTGAGTAGAGAATCCCTTATAATTAAAAATTCAAAGCGGAAGGAGTGATTTTAGTTGACTAGCCAAAGACATTAAGAAATGAAATCAATTTAAAACGGGAATACAGGTTTTTCCAATGTAAGAAATCTATAAGAAGTGAAACAAAATGAAAAGACAAAAAAATAATATATATTAAGTGTACAAAATGAAATGTTAGTGGACAATTGTGGGAGTGCGCTCGACGAGTTTTATGGGATACATTATATTGTACAATCGATTAATATATATTATGTGTATATATATATATATATAATATATATACATACTACAATTTATATTTATTACTGTGATTTCTAAAGGGACTCACTGGTTATATGCATATACGCAGGTATGCACGGGTTATACATGTGTTTTTTTCTAAGTAAATATTATGTAATATTAATTTGTCATTGGGAGAATTCCCAAACCATCAAAGGACACTTTCATAGGATCATTATTTACTATTTTCTACAGATTTCGTTGGGATAAGGGTAAAAATCAACTTGGCCCAATTTTTTTTAATACGTCTTAGTCTCTTAATGGAATTATCCAGCACATTTTTCGATTGCTCTTGATAAGCACGAGTGCCTTAACCATTCGATACAGTATTTTTCCACGATTTCAAAGACATGAACCAGAAAATATTTACAAGATTATTTTTTAAAAATCATGAGTTGAAGATGTGATTTTGAGCACCCAATGCATTTTCATTAATGTGACAGATTTTAAATTGCAAACATGGGTCTCCACGCAAAATTGGGCTTTTAAATATGAAGGTGTTGTGAGAAAATGAAGACTAGCTATTAACAAGTACAAAGTTAACTACCAGAATCATTTTGCGTAATTTTTTTTTTCCCCGCTTGTGTGGAAAAATTGGTTCTGATAAAACATCACATGGAAAATTGATATTTTTGAATATGTCTCCGCTTTGTACCCGATATAATTCTCTTAAGGAGAAATAACACCTAAGAAAGTATACCGATGTGACCTTATAGAGCAAAAATAATTTTGTCATAATAAAAAAGATATTGTATATTTCAAGAATTGACCTATTTTTGATGGCTATCAGTTTGCCAAATGCTAGTATCGCATGGAGATGCTTAAATCAAAGATCTACTTTTTAAAAAGAATATAATCTAATGCCGACGTTGTGAAATAAAAATCAGCAATTACGCATTTATATATTAAATCAAAACAGAGTGAGAAAAAAGAAGCTATATTTATCGATAACGGACACGTATGCATCATTAATTTGGCTAGAAAATAGAGAATTTGGAATTTAGCGATTCAGGTATTTTAACTGTACGATTGTTGTGCGTTCAATGTGCCTAATTAAGAAAAAAAGGGGAAAAAAATGAATAGTAGTATATACGGAGAAGATAATTAATATACGATGAATATATATTTGTACACATGTACAGAGAAACCTTACGTATGGTCTGAGCGATAACCGTATTTGAACTATTATTCTGTCGTAATTCGTGAGTGCCGTATGTCCTAAAGACACCAGTACAGAATTTATTGATCAAATGATGAAATGACAGAAACATATGGGGACGATTTCATTCAAAAGTGGAATAGTGAAACGTGACTAGCAGAACAAATATATTTTCCATATTGACCAATTCTTACGGTATCACTTACTCTGAGAATCAATGCACAATTAATTCCTCTCGTTCTAAACTTGTGATCATTTCATTCAGATATCCTATGATTGATTTGCTAAAGTTTTAGTGGAGTGAAAAAAATGAGACATGAAAGATAACACAAGAACAGCAATATAGTTACATATTTATATATACGTTTGTACCTAGTTAAAATAGTCCCTTCATGCATGAGTCAGTATTCAAACGGAAAAAAGGTAATAGGTGTGTTAATTATCACTGTTTCCTGTTAAATAATTGTATTGATATATTGATCTTATTGACATGAAAAAAAAAAAAAAACAGAAAGAACGGAATGAAGGTTTATTGATTGAGACACTGCTCAGAGGTTTTTTTTTTTTCTATCTGGATGATCTAGATGTGGCTTTGAGTATAAAAATTTAATTGAAATTACACCTATCCTAAAATGTGGAATTTCTGTGTGGAATATTAAAGACACGTTTGTGAGTGTAAAAATTAATTCTAAAAAAAATCTACGAGTTTGATGTTGAAATTCTATTCGATTTCCTTATCTCATGTTATTACCACATATTTTCAACTGAACAGTACATACAATGTTACCGATTCAATGATTGTTCTATTCCGCCGATAAAAAATATGAATGAGTGTTATAATAATTGTTGGATGCCGCTAAGTGAAATGTTTATCAAAGAATGAATTTTATCGAAGCAATAAAAAAAATGATTTGACGTACTTAGAAATTGGATCACAGGGGTTTTTCTAAATCGATGAAAATAATGCTGAACACAACCGAATGAGTGATTAGAAAAAAATAATTAATTGGAGGAAGACTGCATCACTTTGTGACTGTCTCAATAAAATCAAGACACGATGAAAAACCGAATTTATTATGTATGCAAGATCATCGTTAAGTTTTACTTTTCTTATTACAATAATCATGAGTAATGAAGCAATGAAAAAACATGATCGATATGAAGGATCAATGAAGAAACTCGAATATTTGAATAATCCAAAACAATGAAATTGGGAAATGTTTTTATTCTTGGTTATCATCACAAGCATGAATTATTATTAATTATTCTGGTGCATAAGATCTATCTTCGTTAATTGTTACATTTTATCCTATAATTTCCTGATGAAAAAGACCGTTGTCTATAATTATCTAGGGTATTTGGTTTTTATTATTTTTATCTCAACTGTTTTTTGTTTATGTTGCGAAAGGATTGTATATGCATTTTTTTTTTAATGATTAATTAATTGTATGAAATTTTACAATAATTGCATAATATCAGGTGACGAATTGTTCAATGTAGCCTGAGGATAATGAGTAATGGAAGGAATAGAGAATATATATTGTATACATTTTAGTCGAATTATCAGGGTATAGGAAAACCGCTGGACGATATCAAGGAAATGAGACACATCGAATGGTGTAATCATTTTTATCACATTCCTCATTCGCGGTTAATGCTGTAATAGTCGCGAAAATTATTTTAATCTTTTTAATTAATAATTTCAAATGAAAAAAATACAATGACCAAAGTTTTTTTCTAGCAATCTCGAATTAACGTCTTCTCCATTAATTTTGTGAAGCGACGATATTATATTCTATTCTGCATCATCGTTTTACTATTTTTATTATGTAAACATTGAAATTGTACAGAATTGGTGAGAAAATGTTCTCGTAATGATAAATAATTTTTATTTCGTAGCCCCTTGGATGAGAAACGAACCAATAGAAAATGTGTTTTGTGTGTTGGAAATAAATGGGGTGACGATGATTGAATTTGTCTTATGTGTGTGATAAATAAGACTTGTTTTTTGTTGACGTCAGCCTGTTGCACTATTATAAATAAAAGAGCTCTATGCAAAAATTATAATGTTTATTCCTTTCAATCCCCACATGTGAATCTTGAGAAAATGCCAAGCCATCAATGTTTTAAAAAAAAAAAATGCTACAAAAAATTATCTTTGTTTTCTCTTGGTGATTCGAGAAGAATTTTCTGGACGGCGTCTTTCACCTCATCTGCATGCATTGGAAATCCAACCTGGGCTTTTTCTAAGATCCAACGCTTCAAATCCTCCTCTTCGTCTTCAGTGAGAATAGACTTTGGTCCCATTTTTCCTTTTCCAATAATTTTTCCTGTCACTCTGGAGTGTAACGTCGATTTTGGAACGTTGTAGGCTAATACGCCATTGTTGAGGGTTCCTCCATTTTTGACCGCATCAATGGCGTTCACCATGGATTCGGAGTACTTAAATCGCTTGCTTCGCAAATTCGGAGTTGTTTTCTTCGTTAATGACATCTGAAATGATATATTTTTTATTATTTCAAGTTGAGATGACATGTACCATGGAAATTAATAAATAATTCTCGTTGTTATTGGATTTTATGAGAGAAATCTATAGATCTTAACCTCTCTATTCTTCTGCCAATATTTTTTCTCTATCCAAAATGTGCTTTTATAATTGTGAATAAAAAAATTATTTTTTCCACAATAATTAGAGACGAGAATTCATTGACGGTCGAGGACTGGAGAGAGGTTAGAATTTAGTCCCAGTGGAGAAACATCCAATGTTAATTTTTATTTTTAATCATAAAACATATAAGGAGTAATGGGATTTTTTTTTCAATGTGATCTTGTTCAATTTTACAAGACACCTCTTGAATTCTCAGGTTACCCGGTTTAAATTTTTTCTTGCATATCTCTCTCTGTATAAAATAGGATAGAGCAATTGGCGATAAATTACGTTGTTAATGAATGCTTGGCATCGACTCGGCCTTCACATTCATCGAAAACGCAATCTCCTGTCTTGCATACTCTTATGCAGAATATTTTTTTTAACTCGCAATTGTTTAAAATCTGCGCAATAATTCAAAATAAAGCAGTGAAAATTATTGCATTAATCCGATTTTTTACATTAATACATTCTATTCGTTTCGAAACAACTTTTTACGGTCTTCCTTATAATTATCAAGAAAAATCGATAAAAATTGAATGATCATCTCCAGGTATACCGGAATTTCTCACGTGCATGCAAAGGAGAATAAAAAATCGTTCGAAAAAAAATGTTAATGTGTTTTTATAGGAGATTCAATTTCTGTTTAATTACTGCCTGACTGGATAGACTAATTCATCCTGGAAAATTCCCCGAGATTATGATATTCTTTTGCCTCATCGATTTGCAATTAATGAAGATGAAAAATGAAATTTTAATGAATGACTATAACTATGATAATACCTATGATCAGGTGGGATTGAATCGAATCAAATAATCATTATTTATGTATTACATGTCACCTTATGTGATGAAAATTGGGTCATTATCGAAAAATTATTTGTATATGGATTTTTCCAATATATATTTCTGCATAAGCATGTAGGCCGTAGTAATCCCATTTAAATTGGAAATTAGTGCAATACTGGAATGCTGACGTCGACAAATGGGAGATATAATTACGGAAATTAATTGCAAGTGACCCCTCACTTTTCATTTTTCATCGATCTTTTTTTATCACTATTAGATAATGTTACGCGGTGTCGCGGTATCAATTGTCGACGTTGGCTTATCAAACGTTACGGATTTGCACAATAATTAGATGTATGACACAGAAAACGTGGGAATATATGAAAATTCAATGTATGTGATTGTGGAGGAATTACTTAGATTTATGGAATAATAGATGATGCGACCAAGTAGTGGGATAGTTTATTGTCGAGTGAGTAATAGCTTCTGTGTGGAGGATCGTACAAATGATAGCGCTTTGAAATTTACAATCTGCTATTTTTCCGGGGAGGTGCAATTGACGAGTTATCCGTATCAGTGAGCGCATCTACTATCCCAGAGCTAGTACTAAATTTGTCCTCAATTCAGTGACGCTGGATGAAGTGATTGAAATAGTGCATTAAATATTTTTCATAAATAGCAAATATCGAATGTGATCGAATGTGTTCGTAGCATCTGCAATTTTTTTTCAAGGACGATTTCTATAGTTGAATTCCCTCGGTTACAACTAAACGCCCAATTAAAATGCAGCTGTCATTAAATTTTTTCAAATTGAGCCTTTCCCACGGACGGCTAAAGATAGCTTGTTTGTTAATATTATCATGCCTTACCGCGAGCTGTTGCGCTGAAAAAATATATATTAATTTATACGGCGACGAGCCCTTTGGTGTTATCGAGAATGTGATAAAAACAATAATAGGTACCATTAAATTTATGTATGATGCGCTACGATTTCTTTTTTGGGAATCATCGGAGATCACTCCAGAAAGCGGTGCTGAATTCGATTTTGTTGTCGTGGGTGCAGGCACTGCTGGTGCTGCAATTGCAGCACGACTAAGTGAAATATCGAATTTTCGTGTACTCCTCATTGAGGCGGGACCCAGTGAGACAATTTTTATGGATATACCTGTGCATGTGAATGATCTCCAGTTCAGAGATGACATTAACTGGAAATATCAAGCGGAACCCTCTGATAATTACTGCCGAGGAATGACGGATAAACGATGCAACTTGCCTCGAGGTAAAGTCATGGGTGGTAGTAGCGTGTTGAATTATTTGATAGCAACGAGAGGACATCCAGATGATTACAATCGATGGGAGGATCTTGGCAATGAAGGCTGGTCTTGGAAAGATGTTCTGCCGTATTTCAAAAAACTCGAGACTATGGAAATTCCACCGCTGAAAAATGATAAAGAGCATCACAATGATGATGGCCCTGTTCATATTAATTACGCACATTTTCAGACACCACTCGCCGAAGCTTTTCTCCAGGCAGGAAATGAGCTTGGCTATAAAACTATTGATTATAATAATCCAGATGAGCCTGTTGGATTTTCTTATCTTCAAACAACCTCCAAAGATGGTATGAGATGTAGTAGTAACCGAGCTTACATACATCCAGCCAAATCCAGGGAAAATTTACTAGTGACAAAGAATACACTAGTTTCAAAAGTTCTAATTGATGACAACAATCGAGCAATCGGTGTAGAGTACATCAAAGGTGGCAAGACTTATCAGATTTATGCCAATAAAGAAATAATTTTGAGTGCAGGTGCTGTTGGAAGTCCACAAATTCTGATGCTATCAGGCATTGGTCCTGGTGATCATCTCAAAGAGATGGGGATAAATCCGAGAGTTGATCTTCCAGTGGGAGAAAATTTGATGGATCACATTGCATATGGTGGACTCATCTTTCATATTAATCAACCGGTAGGACTGCACATCTATGACATCGTCAATCCCATTAATCCTTACTTGAGTGAATATTTCCTTTATCGAACAGGGCCATTGACATTACCAGGTGGTTGTGAAGCTCTGGCTTTCCTCGATGTGGATGATCCGAATAATCACACAGCTTATCCAAACATCGAATTGTTATTCGCATCATCTTCATTCGTTACTGTCAGCACTGCCCGTCATAATTTGGGAGTTGCTGATGATGTTTGGCAAGAAACATATGCAGCTGATGAAGATAGTTACACCTGGATGGTATTTCCCATGTTACTCAGGCCCAAGAGCCGAGGAAAAATTCTTCTCCGCACTCCCGATATTGAGAGTAAACCGATAATCATACCGGATTATATGGCGGATAAAGAGGACGTCAGGATTCTCATCGAAGGCATCAAAGCCACGCTGAGGATTAGTGAAACCAAGGCCATGCGCAGATTTGGCAGTCAACTATTTAAATCTAAATTCAAAGCGTGTCAGGGTATTGAGGAATTCACTGATCAATACTGGGAATGTGCCATTCGAACTATAACCATGAATATTTATCATTATTCGGGAACATGTAAAATGGGCCCTAAGGGTGATCTCACTGCAGTTGTCGATTCAAGGCTGAGGGTATATTTTCATTATTCATCTTTTAATTACGGCTTTTATCGTTGTTTTCGAGATTTTTGCATATTCTGTTGGCTTTCAGGTACACGGCATTCAAGGCCTCAGAGTGGCTGATGCATCGATAATGCCTGAAATTATGTCGGGTCATACGAATATCCCTACCTACATGATAGCTGAAAAATTATCAGACATGGTGAAACAGGATTGGGGATATCCAGTGTAACCTGAAATATCAATGATATCCTCGTCCACATGTACCCACGATTACTTCTTGTGAAGCGCTGAAGAAATCATGTCTTCCGACGTTGTATTATCGATGAAATTTCCTACTCACAATTTTTTTTTAATAATTTATGTACTTCAAAGGGATACTGTCGTTGTCCTTGAATTAAAAAAAAAACAGGACACGCCGAAAATGTAAAGAAATAAAATATTTTACACTTTATTTTTTTGTTTTCATTTCATTCTCAACTCACTCTCTCTCAATTCAATGTAATTCGAATTGTCGACACCTCGTTGTTATAGAAACGAAAGTTCTGTATCTGTCAATCACTCGAGTTTTCTGCAGTTCACTCAATGCTTCTCCCATAAATTCACCAAAATTCCTATAAAGGGGCTCTCGGTCGTTATCACATTCCTATTCCTTCGTCAAATTACTCATTATTTCTATTCCTCCAAGAATGAATCGAAGGTGAGTCGCAATCATAAGGTAATAATTCAATGAATTCTCACAACCGATTAATCACTCGGAAAATCGATGAACAATTGCAGAAAAGTATTGGAAGTCAGTCGTAAACAGAAAGTTTTGGAGAAACGAGCGAGTGTAGCTGCTTTTCATCCAAATTCCAAGACAACTGCTTACCCAAAAAGTTCAGAGCCTTCAGGGCCTCTGCCCATCGAAAAAGCCATTCAACATGATCACCCTGAAGTGTCGCCGGAATTTTCAGAGACCCATCGACAACCCTCAGGTCCAAAAACCAAATTCACATCAATCGATAGATCATCTGAATTTTCTCCACGACTGAAAAATTTTCCGGCAGAAGAACTCAGGAGGTTCGATGCATCTCCCAGAGTCGAGACGACATTGCCTCCTTTCCAAATGACTGGTGATGGTGACATTTTGCACACTCCAGTGGTACCTCAACAAATTCCTCAACCGATGCCGAAGCAGTCTAGCCACCCGGAAGTCTTCAACGTTGTACCCCTCGAAAGATCACCGGAACGACAGCCTCATCGTCCTTATGTGCCAAAATCACTGGACCACGAAGAACGACTGATCAGTGGACATCAGTCAGAAGGAAATTTCTTGAAGAAAAGAGAGACTGAAGAAATGGAGAGACAACCGGTCGGTGGAAAAAATACTGTTATGTCCAGTCAACATATATCTCAAGCTGATCACCATCACAGCCCAGAAAATCACGTGCAATTCGCTGGTGTCCAAGAAATTCCGCAAGAAATATATTACCAACAGTTTCCCGGACTAGGTATGACGTCGCCCCAAGATGTATTGATAAATCGAAGCAGAATGTCCCAGCAACAGGTTTACCATCAAAATTTCAACAAGCTCCACCAGCATCATCAAGTTGTACGACAAGCAGATCATAATAAAAATTATTCTCCTGTGACACATCCTCATCAACAATCTGCACAGCAATTCCGACAGCGAGAATTTCCCCGTCAACGCGGTCCAGAGAATGAAAAATCTTTTAAAGCACTTGAATTCACACCAGAGATGATTCAAGATCAAGAGAAATTAGTGGGAATTTTGAGGCAACAGGGTTTCCCTGATGAGATTATCAAACGCCAATTCGATGGACTTTTGGCTGAACAACAGAGGCAATTGCTGTTCCTTCATCAACTGGATAACCCTGACAGCTCGTCACAACATTCTAAAAATACGGAACAGCCTAGAAGAAAAAGGATTACTAAACTTGATAAGGATGAGAAACCAGAGTGGATGATGCATATCACTCCTCCCTGGGTGTCTCACGCAACTCTCGAGGAAATGGACAAGTCCGACGGACAGATGAGACAACAGGACCAGGAAGACCTTCGCTATAAAAAAAATCATGAAAACCAGACGCAGCAACAGAATCTGACGCAAATAATAAATCCAGTCTTTTATGAACAACAGCAACAACAAACAGAGTATAATTATCATCCGCATCACACTCAGCAAATTTCCAATTTTCCTCAGTACCATCCGCACCATCAACCGCTTCATCCGAATAATCCAGATGCTGTTCCTCAGCAGTTGCCAACATTGGAATCACAGAATCATCAAGAGGTAATTAATTACGATCGAAAATCAAGAGTAGAACCTTCAAGTTTGATGAAACTGAAGACATACAAAGACGTTATCAAGCGACAGAAGCAGAACAATGGACTCCAGGACGCAGCAACCATCAAAGAAGCTATGGAAGCCCTGAAGAACCCAGTGAATAGAAAAGGCTTAGAGTATTTAGATAATTTAGAGAAAAGGGAGAAGCAGATAAAATTGAATGGCACCCAAGAGCCTGAGGAGGGTCTTTTTCAGAATTGGCCACATAGACCACCAGATTATTTTCTCCAACAATCTCAGAGGGAAGCAAGAGCTAATGGCCTTGAGAACAGGAGGAACCCTGATAATCCTCCTCCACCGATAATAATTCAGCAGAGGAGCATGAATGAATCGATGCCAGTGTATCCAAGAAGAATTGAGGGTGATGAGTTTTATGGGATGCAGTCAACTCTTGCAGATGGGATTCCCCAGAATTGTGCCTCCGCCCTTAGAAATATAGGCGACCCCGCTCAAGGGTACAAAAATCATTTCCAGGCTCATGTTAATAATCAAGTTCAAGGGGGTACTTCTGGGAGTAATCAGGGTATGGGTGCTGGCAAATCATTTCAGCCATTTGATATGCACCAAAGGCAAGAATATTTTCAAGAGATGCCGAAAAGTTGTTTAAAAGAAGGACAGTGTTGTGTTAGGGAGTATTTTGAAGAACCAAGGATTATTGGAGGAGTGAAGTACATAGGGAGAAAACCCGAATTTATTCCAAATTCATATTATTCAGGACCACATAATTGAGAGCGAGCTGGGGAGAAGCATTTTAATTCGTCGTCATGATTCTTTTGAAATGTTTTTCGTTAGTATTTTTATAATCAGTGTACTTTTTGTAGAAAATTTTGAAAATATAGATCGTGGAATTCATGCTGTGAATTTGTCTTCATTTATTTTTGTGGGGGATTGAAATAATTGACTGGCACTTCATACATTAATACGTTCATGTAAATAGGTGGTGGTGCGGTTGGCACATCAAAATTCTCGTGCAGTCGAACTCAGAGGAAAATTAAAATTGAACAAAAAAATCTGTTATGGCGCATTGCAAGAAGAGTAACCGAAATTTTTTGGAGGAATTGGGGAAGATCATTTGTGAAATAGAGGATCGGTTAGTAAATCTATTTTTTATTAATTAAAATACAAACGACTAATGATGATGAACGTTCAAATTTATGAGAGTAATTAAAATTTAGAAAACCAGAGCCAGAATGCTGCAACATCTCTTGCCCGCCCTTCGGATGTCCTCCGGGCCCATGTCCTGGAGTGTGTTGCTTTCAAGGAGTAGTGAACCCTTGCTGTACCCCGAAGATACCGGAGTGCCCATCGAAATGTTCACCTCCTCCATGCCCTACCCCACGTCCACGTCTTTGTATTCTTCCAAGTCCCTCAACATGCCCACCGCAGGATTCATGCCCTCCACCCTGTCCAAAACCCAAGTGCTGTGTTCCATTGAGCTTTCTTCAAGCCGCATGTGGACCGAAAAAATATTGCCTTCCTCCCCTGACGTTCCCGCCTCCTAGACAGAATCAAGGAATTTCCACTTGTCAACTGTCTCCAGCGTGTTGTCCAAGTCCTTGCCCATCGCCCTGTCCATTGCCCTGTCCATTGCCCTGTCCATCGCCCTGTCCCAAACCCTGTCCGCCAGTGATACAAATTTGTTGCCCTCCCATTTGTCCCCCTCCGCACCAGATAAATTGTATGGCATCATGTCCGAAGCCTTGTTGTCCACCACCTTGTCCACCACCTTGTCCACCACCTTGTCCATTACCTTGTCCTATGCCTTGTCCCATGCCCTCTCCTTGCAGATCATTTATCGTATCAATTCCACCTAGATAAACTGTACTCGAATCCTCAAATAAATTTCTTAACCACTTAAAGTCCTTTTTAATAAAAAAAAAAAAATTCTTCCTCATGAAGTTGGTGTTTAATCGCGAATAGGAATAATTGTCAATTAAATGGAGTCAATGATCTGGAAGTGGATGTAATGATTTAAACCAATGAAGATTAATTTATCTCGGATGAATAATTGACTCGTTAATTGCGCGATTGGCGATAAAAAAAGCAGAAATGGATCTGGAGGAATTTAATGAGAAAGAATTTAATCGGAAAGTTGACGTGATGGATATTCTGTCACATTTTATCAGCTCAAGAGAAGAGCATTGTGGTCAGGGGGACGATAAAAATATCAGTGCAATATCTTTTCTTCCTTCGGAATACAAGACGCAACTTCTGATGTCGGTAGAAGAGCGACTAGAAGTGCTCACCACAACAAAACCGCGATTCTCTCATCCTAGTCAATTCAGAATAACACCAGGGGTGGTAATTTTTCAAAATTTCTCCCCGCAAAAAAAATACAGTACTGCAATTACAATTGCAAACATAGACACGGTAAGGAAGGCTGAATTTATGCACAAGTTTATCCGTTTGCTTTGTAATTTTTCATTTTCAGGAGTCCCATTTCATCAGGATTGTATCAGAAAATGATGCAGAATTTTTTATTGAGTTCAAAGGATCGATTTTTAATACTAGAGTAGCACCTGGAATGTCTCATGTTTATAATCTTCAATTTTCTCCAGATAAGGCGGAAGATTATTATTATCAATTGAAAATTTCGACGGATTTAGGATTATTTAATGTTCCAATAATCGGTAAGCCGATTATTCAGAAATACTAGAATTAATAACCAAAAGAAATCGATGAATAATTTGCAGCTGGAGTAGTGAGAGTAATTCTTGGTCAGACGTCAGACGAATTATTCAATTATTTCAGCCCTAGGTCCAAGGCCCATCCTGGACTTTCCCGACATGATCACCTTGCCTCCCACAGCACCAAAAATTTCCTCTTCAATGCCGCTCAGCATCCTCAACCTTGGGAATGCCCCAGCGATCTTCAAGTTATCCTCGGGGAATCCCCATTTCTCAATGAGACCCTCCAACGGAATCATAAGTCCCTGCCAAACCCATCAATTCACCTTGAACTTTATTTCTCGAACCGTTGGAAATTTCACAGGTCTCATCTTTCTGAAATACGAGACTGGAGAACTTGTAAGAATTAGAGTCCGAGGATCCACTTCCAATTGTAAAATTAGTCTGAGCACGGAATACCTCAAGATGGAGAACACATTCCTTGGACTATCCACCGACAAAACCATCAAGATCTTCAACAACTCCGACTACACCCTCCATTATCAATGGATGAGATTCCAGAGCCTGGAGGAAGACAACGAGGAACAGCAAAAATTCGCGGAAATTTTCACGACTTTAAAAAAGACTGAGGCCCACCGTTACGCCAATCTCAAATATTTCGACATTTGCGACTCTGAAATCCACGAAAAAGCGTGTGAGAGAATCCTCCAAGATGAAATATCCATCCTCGCCACGGAAACTTTTCCCTTTTCCTCAAAAAAATTTTTTCTGTCCCCAATGAGCGGAAAAATCTGGCCCAGATGTTCCGCTGAAATTCTAGTAACATTCCAGGCCGAAAAAATCAGTGAAACTTCCATCACAGCCTTCCTGGAAGTCTCTGGAAGTGAGAAGAGATTTCCCTTGAAAATGACTGGAATTGGGAGAGGGCCAGAGATTAAACTCAACACTACAACAATAGAAATAGACAAGATATATCTCTGCTCCACCCAGAACATAGAAATAATTTGCGCCAACGCAGGATTCATCCCTGGCCATCTACTCTTCAAGGAAAAATCTCCAGACTTCGGGGCAGTAATAAAAGTCACTCCGAACTCCCACGAACTCAATCCAAACGAGTACAAATCATTCAATCTATCATTTATGGCCTCACGGCTCGGGGATTTTATTGAGAGAGTAGATTTTATTATCGAGGAAAGTTTAGAAATAATTCCGGTGTACATCAAAGGCCTGAGCATCTGCCCAAGTCTTCACTTCGATAAATCGTCGATTGATTTAGGATCCACGGGCGTATATTCCACATCTATTGGGGAAGTGAATCTACAGAATCAATCAACGGTTCCCGTCAACTACAGGATATCAATTCTAGACGAGATTGAAAAACCTGCATTAATGCCCAGCGCTTTTCGGCTCTCGAATGCATCGAGTAATGGGTCTACCTCGAGTTCAATGTCCCATGAATTCGTGATAAGTCCGAATGAAGGAGTCCTGGAGGCCCAATCATCGACGAAAATAACACTCGAATTTTCACCAACTGTTCCCAGAGGAAAAAGACAGAATAAATTGAGAGTCAAGGTAGATGGCTCCGATGGAGTCCACCAGGTCCTGGTGATTTTTACTCACAGCAAAGTCGCTGTCTTTGACATTGAACCTAGTGGTGTCAATCTTCGGTCTTGTCTCATTAATTTTCCGTATACCATTTCCTTCAGTATTAAAAATACTTCGGATGTCGATGGGTTCTGTTATTTCCCGAGGCAATCTTGCTCAGAGAGATGTGGAATGTTTTATTCGTTGTCTAGGAGTGGGTGGCATTTGAAACCCGGAGAATCCAAGAAAGCCTCGATCACGTTGATCACTAGATTAATTGGACAGCAACCAATGGAGTTGTGTTTATTGACACGCGGGGGAAAAATCCAAAAATACTTTCCGATCATCTGCGAGGGACAGGGTCCTTTGATTTCGGTAGAACCCACTCACCTCGACTTCGGGGATGTCCACGTTCTTGAGTCCACGACGAAGCGCCTGAAAATCATCAATGATTCTCCGATTGCTGGAGATTTTAGAGCTTTTTTGAGAAATAAGACATCACCCTGGAGGGTGTCTATCTCAACTGGAGGAATTCCACCTTTAAAGTCCACAGAATTCGATGTTGAATTATTGATGAGAGATCCAGGAATTCATTCCGATAAACTCATCCTTGAGATTCTGCACAGGCCTGCAATCGTTGTGGGATTATCCGCGATCGGAATTGGATCCTCCATTATTTTAGAGCCTGTCATCTTCCCGGAATTACACTTTGGAATTTTATTGACGCATCAAGAGAATATTCGTGAAATAACGATTAAGAATAAAGGGAGTAAAGTGCAGAAATTATATTTTTCCAATAATCCGGAAATAAAAAACGTCAAGAGTCCACCGACGTCATCATTTTTTTGCATCGATCCATTTACATTTGAGTTGGAGCCCGAGGCAACTCAACAGATCAGGATTATCGCTCAATCTGAAATACCCGGAGATATCCTGGAACACTGGTGGATTTATAATTTAGCTGAAGGCCAACGAAAGAGAGAAATCCTCGGCGAGAGTGTCTTCTCGACAACTTTCGTTGCTCCAAAAATTAAAGTGAACAAAAAATTGCTCAATTTTTTTGTAAATGTAGGAATCGATGACGAGAGCTCTGGAAAAGTGCTGACAAATTATTTGGAAGTTAATAATACTTCGGGTTTAATGGTGCACATTAAAATTTCAACTTGTGGAAGATTTCGAATTATCGGTGAGGAGGAAGTGGGAGATCGCATGATCAATATTGTGATCTATGATAATGAGACTAGATTGATTGGAATTTTTTTCCAACCAGAGGAACAAAATGATTTACTCTTTTCAAAGTCTTATGAAGGAAGAGTGACGATTGAGTTCGATGGAGGCTCCAGTGGCATCAATATCAGGTGTAAAGCTGCTGTGAATTATCCTACTATCACTCTTCCTTCAAAAGAACTTGAGTTTGATGCCACTCTCGGTGCTAGCTGTGAGAGAATTTTAATTATGAAAAATGAAGGACCAGTTCCCGTTCATTTCAATCTTCTCTGGGACGAAAATAACATGCGTAAGGTTTTCATCGAAGACCGGAGGCTTTCAGAATTATCTGCCACTAATTCTCAAGAATTTTTCGAATATAATGCGAACGAACATGAAAAACTCGATGAAGTGAGGGAAGAATCTATCGACGAATTATTGAGAATCTCCAAAACCGAAGGAATTATTCCGCCGAATGAGGAAGAGATGATTGCCCTAGATTTTTCAGCGAGGCGTCCGATGACTGTCCAAACTCAATTAATTTGTCGAGTCCTCGGCGGTCCGAATGAAATCATCAAAATTGAGGCGAGAACTGATTTCGTAAGGTACCATTTAAACACAAAAAAAATAGACTTTGGCTACCAGAATGTCTTGAATAAAGTGCATGAGTCAATAATGGTGAATAATTCATGTGAGATGAATCTTCATTTCAAAGTGGATCACAGAGGTACCTTTGCAGATTCAAACGGAATATTAGAAATTATTCCCACCGAAGGAATTATTCCCAGAAAATCGACGATCGAATTTGAGATTATTTATCAATGTTTAATTCCTGGAAACTTTGAAGAAAATTTGACAATTCATGTGGAAAATTTATTTGCAGAGGCTATAATAATTCGAGGATGCACAGTTCTTCCACAAATTCATATAGATTTGTTTCACGATTGGAGAGAAAAAAATTATCCTCTAGCGAAAGAATATTCCGCGCTGCAGTCTTTCAATATTTTGAATATTGTGGAAGACGATATCTCAGTAGAATTAATTCGAGATCATCACAGATTAATATTGAACAATTGGGATATAATTTATCCCAATGAATTTGTTCCTACACCTGTGGAAATTGATATGAAAATCGAGGAATTTTTTGCTACAGAATTTATACGAGATAATCGATTATTTCTTCTCGCAACTCCCAAATTCCATAAACCTCGACCAATTTCTCATTTATATTCCGCGGAATATATTTTAAATATGAATTATATAATTGCAGGACAATTAATTCATCAATTACTGATCATCTACAATTATTCACCCCTGAGACTGTCGATTAAAATGAAACCCCCAGGGAAGAAGAATTATTTATCTAGATATGGAATAATGGCGAAATTCCGGGACCAGGAAATTTTGATGCCTCGAGAATTTTGCAAGCTCGACATCAATATCAATCCTCCAACTGATATTTTTCATGAAAATACTAAAAAAATCAAGAGGAAAATCTATTTAGAAGTGGCGAACAGCTACACAATTCCCATCTCCATCATTGGAACTATCACATCTCCAATATTAAAATTGGATAGAAATATTTTGAATTTTGGAGACGTAATTCTTGGAAATTGTAAAATTATGAAGTTCAGAATAAAAAATGATGGAATAGTTGGTTGCAAGTGGCGGATAAAAATGTATTCTCCAGGGAAAACAACAGATTTTCCTTTTAGTTTATCGGAGGCAGATGGAATTTACAGCTCTGGACAATCTGGAGTCATTTCTGCTTATTTTAAACCCAGGCGAGATGGGAATTTCGAGGTGGAAGTGATCTTCGAGGTTGATGAAGGGAGGGAAAAAAATTTGAAGCTGATGGGTCGAGGAATTGAACAGAAGCTGAAAATCAGGGGAGGAAATATCAGTTTTTTCCCAGCAATTCCAGGAGTTACGAGTGAAGAAAGGGAATTTAGTATTAAAAATGTGTCCAGGAGTCCACTGGAATTCGGCTGGCAACATCTCGATGAGGTGGAAGTTCTCGAAGAGAGAATCATGAGGGTTCTCACTCATTATTATGGTAGCAAAGAAATTCTGCTGCCTGTTAGGCAATTGGGAATTGATCTCCATGAGAAGATTTACAAATTTTACGATGAATTGGTAGAGGAGATGAAATCGAATTTTTCGACTGATGCTATTACATCTCAAGATGCAGCTTCTCAAAATGAAGAGAATTTCTTGAAATTCGATAGAAATTCAGAAGGAATGGAAGATTTATTGCATGCCTATGTAAATAGATTACACACAGACTTAGAATTTGAAGAAAATATGAAAGATCCGGTTTCCGAGATTCTCGCTGAATCAAATTTGTCTCTCGGAAATCCAACCGATTCCAAATTACGAGAAAAAAAATACAAGACTCCGAATAAGAATTGCATTATTTTTAATGGGGCTCCTTTTACAAAGTACCAAGAGACTGCATGCAAAGCTGCAAAAAAACTTGGAGTCCCTCTTTTAAATTTGAATTCTGTAATTACAGAGTCAATTGCGTTCGGAGAATCGGAGAATTCGTTCAAGCTGAGAAAAATTATTCATGATAAATATCAAGAATTGTTGGTGAAGACAGAGGAATTCATTGAAGATGATGATTTGAGTCAGAGAAGAGTCGAAGCAACCCCATATTTTGCGGATGACGCATATTCTCTAAGAGGAAATGTTGATTATACTATACTCGATCCCCCTGATTATCTCTCCTCTTTTAAAAGCATTCCCGATCCAGAAGAATTGGAAACATTGGATGCTCTAACTCAATACGAATACAAAATTGAAGCTATAAATTTATTAGAAAATATTCTGGAAAGATCTACAGAAATGGAGAAAGGAAAGTTGAAAGGGAAAGGAGCTGCTAAAATCGCAACAAATTTAAAAACCTTCCAAAGGGAAACATTAGCAGATATAGAAATTACTCTATTTAGTAAAATTCTGAGAGAGGTTTTATTGCAGAAACAATATGAATCTGGATTTGTACTCCAAACTTTAAATAACGATTTCATAAAAAACCATGTCACAACATTTTCCCAAATTCTGGATACAATTCCCCCCGAATTGATCACATTCATAAATTTTCATAACTCCCTAGAAATCTATCGGCAAAAAGTCACGGAAAAAAAAGATGAAATTGCGAGAGAAGAAAAAGAAAAGTTGTTATTAAAACTCAAAGATATCGACGAAATGTCTTTGCCAGAGTTTGAAAAACTTGGAGAAGAAGATAAAAATCTTTTTATCGAAAAAGTTCAAAGACCGAGGATTGAAGAGGCACGACTGAGGCGTAAGAAATTCAAAGAAAAAATGTCAAAATCAGAAACCGAAGAACAACCACCACTTAAATCCCCCAGTTCATCCTCCCAAGTACAGCAACTGTCATCATTATCGTCTGCACCTGATAAGCCGAAGAAGTTTTCGAAGAAGACGAAAGATACAGCAAAAGGCAAAAAATCCTCTGGAGAAATACAAATTAATAAAAAAGAAGAGGAAATAGAAAGGACTAGTCGGAGAGACCAAGAAGAAAAATTTTCAAAGGATCAGCCGATTGCAGAAGCTATGGATCTTTACACCAAAAATTTAAATACCATCGCAACAATGATCGATGATAAATCCAATATTTGGTTGATTGCCTTCAGCGATCCATGGGATCGAAAAAATTATCTTTTCATAATCGATCAAATTGGTCATAATACATCGAAAAAAAAATTTGAGACGAAGGAAATACACTTTTCATCGCCTGAAATTGAAGAGCAAATCTTTTCGATTTACGGATATAATCAAATTAAGCGATATTTTAAACCATTATCTGATGAAGTTCCATTTGAGATTAATAATGTTGATGGAAACCCTATGAATTCTCGCACTGTTTTGCACCCAAATGGAACAAAACGATTCAAAGTCGTATTTAATCCTCAGAAAACCGGCGAATTTTCTTACAATTTCGTGTTACATATTATTGGTAATAATAACCAAATGCATCGGATTAATTTATCCGGAATCGGAGATATTCCTCGCTTGAATATGGACCCGAAATTCATATTCCCAAATATCAAAGGGAAAAAAACGAATGAAATTCATGATCCAACATTTTTCGTCGATACGAAAACCTTTGATTTTGGTTTTTTATTGACACCGAAAGATAAAGAGACAAAAATTCATCACAAGACTTCAAGATTCTCCTTCGTTAATTGTTCGCTCATTAATGTTGATGTGCAGTTCTCATTGACGAGTGAATCATCGAAAATTTTTAGTCTGGATAAATCTTCCGCTTCGATCTCACCAGGAGAGAAAGAGACACTCAAAATAATAGCTAGCGCTCCTCAACTCGGTTCCAATACCGATAAACTATTCATTTCAATTATAAACAATCCTCAAGTGGAAGAAATATTTCTTAAGTCTTCTGGATGTAATTTGGACATTGAAATTGACAGGAGAACCATCAACTTTGGAAGAATATTATTATACAGGAAAGATTGCAGAAGAGTTACTCTCAGAAATAAATCTCCAGTTCGATTATTTTGGAAAATAATGGACCTTTTTAATTATGAAAGTGGAATAAACTCGCAATTGTCTTTTTCGTCATCTTCTGGACTCATCGAACCGCTGAATGAAATTAATTTTAATGTTTATTTTGATGGACAAGTCGTTGGAATCATAGACAAACAATCAATTCCAGTAGGATTTTTTCTTTTTAAAAATGACAAAGAATATTTATTGATAGAGAACATAATAATCTTGGCGGAAGTTTACGATATTTTTTTGGAAGTAAACGGCACAAATCCCATAGACCTAGGGATTATAAAAATTGGAGAAAAAACATCAAAGGGATTTTCCTTGAAAAACCGCGGACAATACAATATAAATTTTGTAATTGAACTTGAAAAATTGAAAAATCTCCCGGTACTCGATAAAAAAATATACAGCAATTTTAAGGAGCATTTAAAAATAATTCCCGTTGCTGGAACACTAGTTCGAGATAAATTAATATCAATAAATCTTGAATTCATTGCTAAAATGGAGATGAAATTGAAAAACTATCCACTCATAAAGTGCAATATCTTGGATACTTCAAGTAATTCGGCATTAATTGCAGAAATACCTGTAAAAATTTCAATCGCTACTCAGAAAATTGATGACTTGTGAATGAATGCTGTAAAATAAATTGGAAACTGAGAAATACTGTCAGTCTAAAATACCATTAATGATATTTATTTTCTTTACAAAAACACTTATTTACATAAACTTTGAAGCATTCAACACTCAATACCTTGTTTAACTGAAATTTAACACAGCAATAAAAATTGATTCTCTTATTTCACCTGGTCTTCTCTCTCCACGAGGCTGCAGTTTTCCAGTTTATTCCATCCCCAAGAAGTCTGGACTCAAAATAAGGGAGAATCCAAGTAAGATACCACCGTTCGCCGAAAACATCTTTTAAATTCTGCCTCCATCCAAGATTATACCTTGAATTCCTCTTAGCTCGTTCATGAGCAACTCCTCCAGTAAACACGAGATGAAAATGATAAACCGAGAGTGCTCCAGTGAAGGCCATCCCCACGATGGAGATGATATACAGTGTGAGATAGAACTGATCCATGGAGTAATCGAATCCAAATACGAAAAAGGCCAGAGGAAAAACCATTTTAACAATGGACATGGGAAAATCAAATTTTATTCTCCCCCATATAAAATAATTGTTGTAATAAAAACTATAGACCGTTGCGATGAACAAATAGAGCACGAACATGAGAAAATATCGATGATTGAAGTGTCCCACACAGCAACCGGTGAAAACACAGTGGTGATCTCTCTTTAAAATGCAAATTCCACATGTTTGACAATGCCAGGATCGAGGTGGTGCCAGAGACTCACAGGAGAGACAAAATCTCCAACCTTCCTTCACTTTGGCTTTGCTCACCGGCAAAATAACTGATCTAGTGCTTGTGTCACAGAGAACAGTGTATGTGAAGTTCCCAACAATATTTATAAGTATAAAAGTCCCAAGAGTGAAGTGAAAGAGATAAATTGAAGATCCTGGAGAGAACAGCTGGGGAAGAACGACCCACAGCTCGAACCAGTAAATCACTGGAACTATTATCAAAACGAAAACCATTGATGCACCATCTCCAGCAGTTTTCGGCCAGATTTTCTTCCGGAAATTCATGATCACTGGTTTTTATTAATTTATGATATCATTTCGTAATTCTTCTTATTTTGCACTTCATTTTCAGAAGAATTAGAGGTTACTTAGCTGGCACTGGAGTTTTAAAATTCGGTGTGACTATTCTAGTTGTTTTTGAGTGACCCCTTTAGTCAATCCTCTTTGCTGGAGACATTATGTCCGTTATGTTTGACACCTCATAAACTAGTGGCGCCAATAAATACATTTTTCATTTCATAACCACATTTCCATGTGGTTCAACCGATTCTGATGGGAATAGTCACACCGAAAATAAAAATAATTCCCTTAAAACATTCAATAATCGCGGTGTGAATCCCTGAGTGTTCAGGATAATTGTAGACAGTAATAGAAAAATAATAAAGTAATAATAGGTAATGATACAATAATAAGTGGGAGAGGGTAATGGAGTGAAAGGGTTATGTGAATGGAAAAATCAACGAAGAAACATAAAATCGCCAATAAAAATGTCTCTATTTCGATTCAAACCGATTCGAATTGCCCTGGCGCGTCTTTCCTCGATGGACATGCCCCGGGAAACCCCGATAAACTGGAAACTTCCAGCGCAAACCCGAAGGCACCCAGACCTTCTCCTCCACAAGTACCTCCAGGGTGATACGAAGATGAGCCCAGAGAAGTGGCAAGAAATTCGCGAGGAGATGCTGTCGTCGAAAAGAATTCGCATCACCCCCGTCAACATTGACGCAATCATTCTGGACACCTGTTGTGCACTGGGGCAGGATAAAATCGCCCGGGAGTACTGCAACTACTTGAAATCCCAAAACGGCAAGTTCAACCTGGCAACAACTGCCAGGTGAGGCAGTCCACAAAATTTTCTATCAATTTTTCACTAGATTAATCAATAAATAACAGTCAATAACTCATGAAAATCTGGAGAAGACGAATATTTTTCAGGGAAATTACTACAGTATTTTGTGGAATGCCACAGGTATTTAAAGCTTCTGACAGACAAGGAAGGGCCCCTGAGTGATAATGAGGAGAAGGACGTCCTCGAGGTGTACGATGAAATCAGGAAGGATTATCCCCTGCTGGATGCTATGACTGCTGAGGCCTGCATCAGGGGAATATGCAAAACGAGAAGGTGGAGAGAGGCCCTGGAGCTCCTGAAGATGATCGAGGAGAACGCCAGACCCTGTGGTGACGTATTCAGGGCAATAATCTGCGCATCCTTCAGAAATAATGAGGCCCAGATCGCCTGGGACTTTATCAATAGAACCTCCCGTGAGGTGACACCCGACAGAAAGGTCTACAGGTCTTTTCTGGAGTACTCTATGCGGGTGGCCGAAAGCGGGGAAGAACTCGAGGAATATCTGGGGAAATTCTTCGAGGTATTCGCAGATCTCGACATTTATCCCTGGATCGATGTCCTCCAGGAGTTCGGAACTGCTCTGGAGAGGCATGGATGGACAGGCCAGCAGACCTCCATTAGGTCCAAGTGAGTTTTATTCATTTTTTCCCTTGCCAATTATTTGAAAAATTGACGTCTTCAAGGAAATAATTAATTATTTTTATTTTATTTCCCCCTGATAGTAATTGCTGAATTCTGGACGAAGATCAATTGGACAATTTTTTTTTCAGTGGAGTCTGCTCTAGCTGTGGACATGCATTACAGCAATTGGAGGTGAAAAATGAAGACTTCGAGGCCCTGTTTAATTCGTTCGTGTCGAAAGCTATCGTGGGAAAAGATATTTACGATAAAACTGATCCCCAGGAGCTCACGAGGTTCCAAAGATTCATCGAGAAGGCAAAACCTTATGACGTTGTCATTGACGGTCTCAATATCGAGTACACGCTATGGAATAATAAAACTCGACTGGCTACAGGCGAGAGGGTAAAATTCATATTAAACTGTTCTATGGATCCGCCTGATTTCAGGCTAATGGAATTTTCTTCAATGGAATTTGACAGAATTATAATAATAATTTTTTAATTGATTGCATTAATGATAAAATTATGAAAATAAAACCACTCGTTTGTTCCAGTTGGCAAATGTAGTGCAATTACTGAGAGGGCAAGGGAAGAAAATCGTCGTCTTGGGTCGAAAGCACATGTACCGATGGAACCGCGAACACATGCAGTACATCCAAAAATATGCACATTTTTTTGGTGCTAACAATACGTAAGGATGTATTAATAATTTTCAGGAATTCTATTTTTTTTTATATTAAAATTTATTATCAGATCTGAGGATGACCCATACCTGCTGTATGCAGCCCTCGCCGGTGGTTTGAAGACATATCTGGTCTCCAAAGATCTCATGCGTCAGCACAAATTCATTCTGTCGGATCCAGTTCTCCGGAAGACCTTCAAACTCTGGCTTCTGACTCGCCAGATTTATCCCATCACCAAGGGAACTCCACTGAATAGAATGATATTCCTACTTTATCCTCCTAGCTATCTTCCAGTAGCACAGCAGGATGACAATGGATGGCACATCCCTGCCATAGAAAATGACATCTTCTCTCAGGAATCTTATGACCTTTCCCAGCCCTGGTACTGTCTCAGGAAAAATAGAGTAGAGAATAAAATTAAGCAGCCGAGCAGGCCACCCAACAATTATGTTAAGAGATAAATAAACAATTGATAATAGAACTGACTTTTTCTTTTTTTTTCCCCCTTGAATTTACAATGCAAATAATTTGAGAAAAATGTCAAAAATTCGAAATTCGAATTTATCAAAAAAGTTTGTAATACTTTTTATTCAAAATACAAATTTACCAGCTGAGTTCACTCAGATTTTTTAAAATCTAGTACTTAAACAGAAAAAAAATCAACAAACGGATCGACAGAGATTGTGAACAGTCAATAATCGATAAAATAATAAAATAATATATCAAAACAATTAATCTGTATAATTGACTGGATTTTGTCCATCGAAAAAATCAACGGTCTCGAGTCCCTCGGGGAGGTACGTTAGTCCGGAGACGTCTTTGTGCCGCATGTTATAATTTTTTCCGTATTCTGAACAGAGAAAATCAAATAATTATTAATTGATCCTCCTATTCAGAGAATAAAATTTTTAATTACCCGATTCAGAAAAAAAAAAATAGAGGTGAATGAACGAAAATAATTACCGAGTGTTTTCATGAGTTTGGTAGGTGCATTCCTGAGATGTAAAGGGACAACAGGTTGTGGCCCTTTCTGTTCAGCTACGAGTCTCTGTGCAGCTCTTAGTGCATCTTCCATGAGTCTGCTCTTAGGGGCTTTAGCCAGGTAAACAGCACATTGAGCGAGAAGAACATCACACTCGGGCATCCCCATCATTTTGCAGGCATGCATAGTGTGAACTGCAATACCAAGGGCCTTGGGATCCTCAAGACCGATGTCTTCGCACGCCATCCGGACCATTCGTCTTGCAATGTATACAGGATCCTCTCCTCCAGCCATCATCCTCGTCAACCAGTAAAGGGAGGCATTTTCGTCACTGGCTCGTACTGACTTATGAAGGGCTGAGATCATATCGTAATGCTGATCCCCTTTTCTAATCGTGAAAATCGTGAGTAATTATTCATCATTAATTATACTGAATATTACGATGAAAAAAAATGAAGTGAATGAAATGTCAAATAAAAACCAAAATAAAAATGAAAAAAAATTATTTCCACCTGTCATAAAGCATGTGAGTCTTCTTCAAGCTCTCCTGGACATGCTCCAGGGATATCAAAGGAGTATCATGTCCTGAATTCTCTTCCTCAGGGACAATTGACTGAACTGCCAGCTCTAAACCTCCCAGAGCAATTCTAGCATCTCCATCACAAGTTTCTGCTAGGAATTGAATAGTTTTTTCATCGATTATGAACTTGGGAATTTCGTTGAACGCCTCGTAAACCTTCTGGCCCTCCCTGTGGACAATTCCACTCAGAGAGTTCACAGCCTTATTCAGGATCCTCACAACATCTTCCAAGGTTAATTTCTCAAGGACAATAACTCGACATCGACTTAAAAGAGCTGAATTCAAGCTGAAAGATGGATTTTCAGTGGTTGCACCAATCAAAGTGATCGTTCCAGCCTCGACGTGGGGTAGGAAAATGTCCTGTTGTGCTTTGTTGAAGCGATGGATCTCATCCATGAAGATGACAGTTCTGCGACCAAATTTTAATTCATTGGAGGCTATTGTCGTGGCTTCTTTGACGTCAGTAACACCGGACATGGCTGCTGATAATTTTACGTAGCGAATTTTCTTCTTGGGGTCATTTTTGCACATTGTCGCGATGACATTAGCCAAGGAAGTCTAAAAAAAATGGGGAAGGATGAGGATTAATTGGAACATTGCTTTCAATGGTGATTCCATTCAGGTGTTGTTCAAGATTAACCTTGCCACATCCTGGGGGTCCCCACAGAATTATGTTGGGAATTTCACCTTTGGAGAGCAGCTGGTGCAGCATACTCTGATGTCCAATAATGTGAGATTGTCCCACATACTCTAGCAGACTCGCGGGTCTCATTCTTTCGGCAAGTGGTGCTGTACTTTCTGGAAGCTTCTTCGAAGCTCCGGAATTACTACGGGATTCCTAAAATCGACAGAAAAAAATTTGAAGTTGATACAATTTTGCATTTTCGACGATTGATTCCAAACACTGTATCATTTGATCACATTTTTCTCTTCAGTGGTTTCTTTCACATCCTCCAAGTGGTTTTTATCCTGATTTAGGGGTGATCCAAAGACACTCTGACTACTTTGAACACGCTGAGCAATCTTAATCTTAGATTTTGGTTTTTTGGTAACGATTGGGCTTTTCATTTTGGATTGACTATCAGATCTAGGTCTCTTAAGGCATCCCTGGCTGTCGGGGAGGGCTTCATTCAGAAAAAGACATCTTGAAGCATGAGCTTCAATCGATTCCTGAGGAAATTCCTTCGAGCAAATTGGACACTGCACTGAATCACACTCCATTTTTAAATTCATCAACAAAAGTCAAAGAAGTAATCAGATGTAATAATCCATAACTATCTCCACTTGACTCCTGTTTGTTTGCCTGTTGCAGAGAGGCTTGACTAAAGTAGAGGCTCAGTTCTGGGGGTTTGAGTGACCTCAGCGGCATCGTAGTACTGCACCACAAGAGAGGGAGGGCGCAACACGCAATGCTGGGGTGTTTTTTTTT